AACCACCCCAACCACCCCAACCACCCCAACACCCCAAACACCCCCACCCCAACACCCCAACCACTCCACACCTCATCCCTTACTTAACAAAACCCCCAAGACGAGGCCAGCTAAAAGTTGTCCGGGAATTTGCAACTGCAGCTGCATACGGCCTGAAGTCGCCGTCACGATGGATTCACGAATATCCCCCAAACGGTTACGCGTACGAAAGTCCCGCGGTCGCGGTCTGCGGACAACAAATGGCTGGTGAGTCGTTCCGGTCTGGAGCGCGTTATGCTCTGTATAACCTGATTTTTGTGCAGCAAACAATGCAGGAGACGTCACTTGAAATGTGACGAAGTCAAGCCCATTTGCAGTGCCTGCGCCAAAAAAGAATATGCTTGTGAGTTTTCTACACCTCAAAGCCGTCGCAACCTCTGGAGTCCGCTCTCAAACCAGCCGATTTTAGCGGCTTCACCCCGAACACCAGTGGAGCAGACCCTTTCTGCGCTGGAGACTAGTGAGAACTCACCGACTACTCATCATACAAACCAATCAATAATTGTGTCTAATGACACCACTGAAATCGCTTGGCCTGATTATGAGGTGGCCGGTGACCTCTCTCCATCTGGTCAAGGCGAGCAGCTAATAGAAACACAACCCGTTTCGAACCATAGTCCGATCGCTTGGCAACATGCCTTCTTATCACCTTCGAATGCATCAAATGCGGCGTTGAGATGGTTTGGGCTTCTAGCAAATGATGCCGCTAGAGAAAATGTGCAGGAATCCACTGTTCAGAACTCTTGGGCGAACGAAAACCTCTCTTTGGACCACACTGGTTCTGACGGTCGGAGATCACTGACTTCGCTACAACAGGCGACTCGAGTGTTGGACAGTCCTTCAAGTTATGCGGGCCGTGAGCTCACCCAAGTGGAAGCTGCAGGGAACAGCAGCCTAGGAGAGGAGCGGATCTGGCAATCATATGAGCCAATTCGACTTGAGCAATCCGAAAAGAAATTATTGGAACACTTTGTCAATAGTGTCAGCCCCTGGGTATGATAAAGCATCAACTCTGTGGCTCTCGTATATTTGGTTGATGATTCTCGTTTCCAGATTGATCTCTTTGACCCTACAACTCAATTTTCTACGCTCGTTGCGCACTTAGCGGTGAGATGTATCTCTTTGCCCCGAGAGGTATTTCCATGTTGGAAGACTGATCCGTTATTACTAGATACACAATGCTGGCCTTTTGAATGCTATACTGGCTCTTTCGTGTCGGCATCTGGCGTTGAACCCAAAGCTTGGTAAAAGTAATACGCCTATAAAAGAGGAAGAAGCTCTGCAATATTATTACCAAACGCTGCACTATGTCCAGAAAGCCATGAAGTACTCTGGCTATCAAACAAGTCTAGAGCTTCTCTCAACCACACTAATCATCTCTGCGTACGAGATGCTCGACAACTCTTCCAAAGATTGGGAGAGACATCTAGAAGGTGTATTCCTCATACAGAGATCTCAGACTATCCACGGCGAGTCTGGAGGGTTACATTCGGCGGTTTGGTGGGCATGGTTGTGCCAGGACATCTGGGCTGCCTTTCGCGAGAAGCGCAAGACTCTTACATTTTGGGTTCCGCAGAAACCTCTCTCTGTATTGTCACCACATGAACTTGCCGCTCGCTCAATCTTCACCGCTGCAAAAGTGATCAGTTATTGCGCTGATGCCACAGATCAAGCAAACATGGGACACCAATTTGACGAGGCAGTCTGCCTTCATCAGATGTTAGATGACTGGCAAAAACATCTGAGGATTCAATTTTCACCCTTGCCATGCAATGATCACATCAAGTCATATTTTCCGCCAATCTGGATCCGACCATCCGCATTTAGTATGAATAAAAATTCAAATCATTTTATAGTATTTAGATTCATAGACTCAAACTTATAGCCGTGGCGGTACAATTCTACAACGTATCAAAGATTCTACTACTCGCGCACAAACCCAAGTTGGGCGGTCTAGAGGAGTACCTTGAGAGACAAAGCGTCATCAAGAACCACGTTGAAAACATTTGCGGTATTGCGCTGACGCTTGAGGATAATCCATCTGGTATCATATCATCTCAAGCTTTGTATATCGGTGAGTTCTTCAATACACAATATGTGAGGAGCGCGGCTCACAACAGATAGCTGGTCTTTTTACCATGGACACACAAGCACGAAACTTCATAGTAGAACTACTAGACTCGTGTCGCGAGCGAAGTGGATGGCCACTTGAATCTCTAGGTGAAGAGCTGGAGAGATTTTGGGGATATGAATCCCAAGGGATCACAACGGGTGCAAGAGTGACAGATTATTCAACGAGGGGCTATCGATGATCAATTGAAACCATATTGCTATGGGTAATCCCCTCTAGATACCATCCCATTCCATAGAGTGTAATACATTGTTTTCATATGTCGAGCAAAGCTCCTTTGACAGTACCACTTAGTTGAACCCTCCACAATCGGTGCTAATTGAGAGCAAAAATCTCTCCATCTCTTACAAAACAGAAATTTGCGACGCCTCCTTCTACAAGGATTTTTCCCAGTAAAACAACCCTCTGAGACCATACATCGATTCCATCATCACAGTCACTATACACATTTCCGTTGATATCACACTTTATTCCGTCCGGGATGCCACTGTCTGCTAAAGCAAACATTCGCCGGGTTGTGAGGAATGGCTCTCCGTGGTCCATGGAAATATCGAAGGCATAACTATTTCAAGCTTCTAGTTAGTGATAGAGAATGGTTAAATACTGGAGAATGAATCATGCTTACATTGAAGACCCCCGTATATCATCGATAGTACCGTCACCGTCACCGTGAACTCGATCGGTATCAGTAATTTAAACTGTCTTCTCATCTGGAGAGAAACATATGCCATTCGGTATCCCAAATGCATCGGCAATAGCTCGAATATTCCCATTGTCCGGACACCACCTATACACTTGATTGGGTAGACATGGCACTGGCCGATATCCTTGCTCGTGGCCGCAAATGGGATCGGTGAACCAGATCGATCCATCCGTGTTGACCCGACATCATTTACAGAATTAAACGGTCGGCCGAAGAAATCGCTCTTTAAAAGCTCAGATTTGTGCGAGATGGTAGACATTCGATAAAATCCGCTTGGCTCAGTCATGGACCCCTGTGAACAAAAGAGAACATGTTCTTGCCCGTAATTAATGCCCCCATTGGCCATGAGAATGATAGTGGAAATCTCTTCGCAACTCACGGGGTTTTGAGTGAGACTTACCCGGGTAATAAGGATTTTTGTTATTCTCATCATTGATGCATCGATTACTTATTATGTAGAGAGTGTTAGTGTGAGGGAAGAAAACTCCAGCCTTATGAGCGAAGGCGTACTCTTTGTTTTCAGCAAGAAGCTCTATTGTCGAAGACGGGCCAATAATTGTCCTAAAGCGTTCATCATAGAGCTGAAATAAATTTCCGCTACTACTCATGACGAATTGCAAGTTGCAACTGGCAATCTCCGACGGAGAAAGAATTGATAGTTACTAGGGATAGGATGCGACAAAACGCTGAGAGTGTGGGGTGAGAGACAGGAGAAGACCTGGAAGCTTACTGATAAACTTACTGACAGCTGGAGGATTAGCCAGCGCTGTCCAGGTATATTCGGCTAAAATGGAGCTTTGAAGCTCCAGTTATGTGGGGGTAGCGTCGATCAAATTCCCCGTCTCGGGGACATCTTAAATCTGTGTCAGGACTCAACTTGAAATTCCTTCGTCAATAACTCCAAATGTCTTAAAATAAATTGACTGGCCAAATAAATGACAATGAAGAACGAATATGAGTTTCTCCTGAAAAGAGTTCTTGTCTCTTAAGTTTCTCAGTATGTCCTGGAAAGACTCCAATTGCCATAATCGCATTCTGCGCGATGCTGAAAATGGCCGCTACGGCGTCATCGCCGCGATTGCCTACAACATTGAGCAGATCCTGGGACTCGTCCGAGCTGCAGAAACTGCCCGCTCGCCACTGATAATCCAATTTTTCCCTTGGGCTATCGAGGCCACAGATGGTATGCTTGTGCGTGCCGCTGCCGATATTGCGAAGCGTGCAAGTGTATCTATCAGCATTCATCTTGACCATGCGTAATCCCCAGATATTATCAAGCGGGCAGCGGACCTCCCATTTGACAGTATCATGGTGGATATGTCACATTACGAGAAGGAAATCAATCTGAAAATGACTCATGAGCTGGTACAATATTGCAATGAGCGCGAAAAATCGACTGAAGCCGAGCCAGGTCGAATTGAAGGAGGGGAGGATGGTGTTATGGATACTGTAGGATTGGAAGTATGTATGACAACTGCTGAAGAGGTAGATGAGCTCGTCTCTACAGGAGTAGATGTACTTGCCCTTTCGTTTGGTAACGTTCATGGTGAATATGGTCAGCGCAGCCCGCAACTGGATTTCGAAAGGTGAGTTTAAGCGGCTGATTTCTGTTAAGAAGAATTTTAATAACCACGAAGCATCTAGGTTTGAGAGGATTCGTGCTCAGGCAGATGGAAGAGTTCATTTGGCCCTTCATGGAACTAACGGATTCGCCCCGGAGCTTTTGAAACGTTGCGTGGCTGCTGGTGTGACCAAAATCAATGTAAATCGATTAGTCTTGGATGATTATTATGATCACCTCCACGCGAATGTGGAAAAGATCCCACATACCCAGCTCATGAAAGAGGGTATCCAGAAGGTGGCAGATTTGACCATCAAATGGATGGATATTTGCGGATCGGCTGGGAGGGCCTGAGTTCAATGTTGTCAACTGGTAACGACTCGGAGTCGTGTGAAGATACTTTTCGTCCCAAAAATTGATATAAACATGAAATGAAAACAATATTACTTTATTGAAATTCCACTCGGTCGCACTATACCCATTTTTCAATAGTCCGTACTCTCCTGGCATTACACTTAAAAAACCTTGAAGTTAGAAGCCGTTCATATATATACCCTGAGCATTGATCTAGGGAAGAGTCAAGCAAATATACCTATGACATGCATGTGGGGAGAATATAAGTATGAGAGAATAGTGCGGTAGTATTCTACAGCGGATTTGAACCTTTAATTATGATTATGCGTTCGGTCTACCTAAATGAGATATGTGCAGCCCTGGAGCGTTGAAAGCAAGCAAAGTCTCAACTTGAAGGTTCTTACTGTGATTACTGTAATTTGCTGTACATTCCACCATCAGCCAACAGTCCCGTAGCGTTCACATAACGGCTCATCTCTTCACAAGCTAAGAAGACTGCAGGGCCTGCCATATCCTCAGGGTCCCCGATGCGACCGAAGGGTATGCGCTCCTCAAGAGCGGCCATTTTGGTAGGATTCTTCATGTCGTGGGCGGCAAGGGAAGTGCCAATGGTCCCAGGCATCAACGCGTTACACCTAATTTTATCTTTTCCTAAGGAAATCGCCATAGACTGCATCATGGAAAGAATTGCAGCTTTTGTGGGAGTATAATGGGTCTGGAACCCGCCGCCAAGAAGGGCACTGACGGAAGAAATGCCAATAATCGAACCACCGTGTCCCTGCTTCACCATTTGGCGAGTTCCAGCTTGACACGAGTAGAAAGTGCCTTTGACATTTACATCAACACTATGATCGAGAAGGGCTGGCTCGATTCTGGAGAACCAGATTAGTTTTAGTCATTCTCAATAAAAATGAGAGGGACAACTCGTTCGAGAACATTTTGAACCTCAATTTATGTTGGACAACTTGGACTCACTTGAGAAACTCGGCTGGTTTGAACACACCCGCATTGGCGACAAAAACATCTAATTTACCCCACTGTGATACAGCCTCTTTAACAAGATCAGAACTTGTCTCAGGCTTTGTCACGTCGCCAGGTAGCTCTAGGATATCGCCCGCTCCGATACCCGTGTTCTTGATTGCTTTGACCTCTTCAAGAAGACTATGGCGATGATCCGCATTTTGAGGCATCCCTAGGTGGTTGACAGTGACATTGCATCCTTGTGTGATATATGCCAAAACAATTGCACGGCCGATACCAGTCGTACCACCCGTTATCGCTGCAGTTTTGCCTTTAAGCATGTTCCAGGCGGGGAGCGTGGCCATTGTCAATTGAGCTATAGTGACAGGAAAAGGAGGAATGGGTCGTATAATCAATGGATGTAAGATTGACGATGACTATGACGATGAGGATAATGATGATGGATGATAATTCTAATACCCCGTGGATGAAGAAGGTCAAGTGATAATGATGGTACTTTTAACAAAGTTCAGTACGTTGGACTTCAATTTAGAACTGGCGGCAAAACGAACTTCCAACCCCTCTTTGACCCCGTATTGATCTTCGAAACTGACCCAAATATAGATGAATCCCAGTGGGTCATAGTGTGTCGTCTCGGGGTCCGATCACAACATTCCTCCCGTCTCGGGGGCCTCTTGGCTTGGTGTGGAGCGGAGAAAATGTATGGACTGAGATGTACTCTACACGTTGAGGGGCAAATCTTGGAGGAAGATATGCCACTGTGTAGCTTATAAAATGAGGTTTTTTCATGAATGAATTACTGAATTATCTTTCTTCGCAAAAAACTGTATCTGCCTTAAACGCGACTTCTTTCACAATGGCTCCTTCTCTTACCTCTGACCAACTGCCTGTCACCCAGGCACAAACCACCCCCAGACACAAATCAGTCTCGCCGGAAAAGTAATTGCGAGTATGTCTCATGTAGCTTTCTTATCTGACTCGCGAGTTGTCAACTAATATTAAATGACCTTAGTCACTGGCGCCAACCGTGGCATCGGTCTCGGTATTGTCGAGTGCTGCCTTTCCAACGGCGCAGCTAAGATTTATTCCATCGACATCGGAGAGACTGGAGATGATTTTGCTGCTGTTTTAAAGCGCTATCCTGGTCAGATGGCTGCTATTGACGCAAATGTGACCGAGGAATCCACCATCACCGCTGCAATTGAGAAGATCATCGAAGAAGCCGGTGCTCTGCACGGAATGGTAGTAAATGCGGGTCGCACACATCACAAGGCTGCTCTTGACTTCACAAAAGAAGAGATTGAGAGCCTATTCAATGTGAATCTTTTTGGGGCCTTCTACAGCGCACGTGCCGCTGCTCGCGCATTTATCAAGCTCGGAATCAAGGGATCCATTGTATTCACAGCTTCAATGGCTTCTTACCGTCCAAACAAGGTACCATATGCATCTATCTTTCTATAATGTCAACAGAGAGGTGACTCCAGGTTCAGCGTGTTCCCTCCACTCCCTATGGTGCCTCAAAGGCAGGCGTCCGCAACATGACTCACACATTGGCAATGGAATGGGCACAGTACAGTATTCGTGTCAATAGTGTATCTCCTGGTCTGGTAAAGACTGCCATGACATACTGGGTCCCTCAACAGCCAGACTGGGAGCAACAACTAAAGTATTACGGTGGCTTTCCCAGGTTGGCTGAGGTACAGGAACTTGGCGGTGCTTACGTCTACCTTCTCAGCGAGGCAGCTAGTTACACTACGTCTATTGATATTCCGGTCAACGGGTCACTGGCAGTAAGTTATTCCACTACTCTTTCTATGATATTTTTATTCATATGCCAACATGTACAGTTTGTTAAATCTGGCTCGGGCCAAATTGAGAAGGAATTTGATGCACTTTCATGTTGTATATGTTCTTACCATTAGATTTACCCCCTGTGATAGAGCAATATAATTTTTATGAAGATATCACTTGCGATTTCATCCCTAGCTGCTTTTTATGCTCATTGTCTTCATCACAGAGAAACTTTACAGCGATGAGTAAGGAGTATAAAGTCGACCCACTGACTTCCGAGTCCCCATGTGTTAATGCCTTGACAGCGAGCTTTCAAAGTCCAGCAAGTATTTCAATCGCGTGTCATGGTGTAGGTCTTGGATAAAAAAAATTCATGAACTTGATCATATTAAGCCGCTCATTACCTGCTCATTACCTCCAATTGTCTCTTTTCACTTTTTCCTTCAGGTTTCCTCCAAATGGCCGGAGAAATACACATTCCTAATATTATGATAAGAAACACACATGTAATGGATCATTCAAACATTTGAATAATGTTATCACTGTTTCAAAATAATTGCAATAGAAAACTAAGCAATACTCATTCCAAACTTGAAGGTTACCTAGTCCTTTGAATACCGTAAAATAGAGCAGCCATTTTTCATTTTCCAGACACTCCCTCATCGTGCTGAAAGTGAACATAAAGTTCTTTTTCAGCATCATCGTGAATACGGTTTTGAGTACGAGCGGTACCTGAATTTGGGGTTTCAGCCATTAGTCTGGCGAAATTGGACTCTGCATCCCAAGCAAATGGGGACTTTGAAGTGAACAACATATCGATTTCCTCTTGTGTACGCTGGCTGGATTCAGGATAGAAAGCCCATACTGAATAGTTAGTCTGGTTGTTCAATGATACGAAAGGGAAGGAATTATCCTTTTTACCAATAGGAATGCTGATAAGATTGACTGCACCAAATACATGCAGTGTGTTTTCTCCAATAGCAGCGAAGACGAAGGGGAGGGGCAGTGTTAAGGACCTATGTAGTACTAGATGTTAGAATACATGAGATAGAAGGGGCATAACCTTGGAAGGAATTTACATACCCATTACCCAAACTCCAACCGACAACACCCCAAGCGTTGCCTTTGGCTCCCACCTTCAGTGGGAATATTTCCGCCGGATACAGCCATGGGACAGTAAGCCACGTAGCACCGAAGACGAATGTATAAAGATAAACTATCGAAGTCGCTGCAATGCCCCATGGGGCCTGGTTTTCTGGATATGAAATTCAACCGCGAGCCATACCCCCTGCGAGCAACATAGCGGCTGATTGACCTGCTGCTCCCCACCATAGTTTCCAGCGCCGACCGATCCGATCCAAAGTGAAGACACAGATCAGTGTTGCAAACGCATAAAATATGTCATTCAGTCCCGAGATCCACATGGTCTTTCGAGAACCGAAGCCGGCGATTTTGAAGATAGCTTTAGAGAGATTTAGAATCCCTCGGATCAAAGAAAGAGAGAAATGGCGAAAACCTACTTGGTGCATACATGGTAACCCCAGCGATTCCAGACCAGCATTGGAGAATCTGTAGCCAAATCACGAGTTGGACACGTCGCGCAACGTGCAAATCTCCCTGACCAGTCCCAAATAACATCTGAAAATAGGTGATGTTCGCCTCGGAGTCTGCCTCTAATTCAACCATGGCTTCGATCTCACTCATCTCGAGTCTGATGGCACGCTCGTTCCCGGTTCCCCGAAGACGCTGAAGGACATAAAGTGCCTCATCCCGCCGACCTATCATGCAAAGCCAGCGAGGTGACTCGGGGAAGAACCAGCATCCGATGATGAGGAAAAGAAGCATGAAAATATGAAAAGCAATGGGAAAACGCCATTGAAACTCGGAATTCCCGTGCTTGATGTAGCTGACTCCAAATCCTAGCCAATAGGCTACCTCCACACCGACGATGTTCAATGTGAATTCCATGGCGATAAACATTCCACGGGACTCATAGTCAGCAAGCTCAGAACCATAAACTGGTACAGTAGCGTTGAGAATTCCGGTACCAATTCCGTTAATAAGACGCGATATGATCATCCAGCTCGGGTTCATCGCCGTGCATTGAAGCACGGCTCCAATTATCCCCCAAGCAGCCCCGAAAGCGAACAACTTAATGCGACCGTAGCGATCACTGACATAACCGCCCATGAAGCATCCAACCAAAGTCCCAAGATAGTAAACTGACACAATACCACCTTGCAATAAGGTATTTGTTACGGTTATGGAACCATTGCTCTCATATCCTAATCCCATTCGGTGCACGTAGGCATGAGAATCGTTGACTCCGCGCATCATGCCCTGGTCATAAGCTGGGTATCGTGTTAACATCAACTTGAAATATTGTAGTATTAATCTGGCAGCAGCCCAGACACTCACCAAAGAAAAATATTGCAAGCCCAACGAGACAGTTGACCGATAACAAAAGTGAACGCTTTTCTAGCCTGGAGGCTATCTTCCACGTCGCTCGTTCATCACTCAACGCTGCAAACATTATGGACATGTGCATACTACGAGCCCTGGAGTAGAAAGGTGGTTGAATTCCAAGGTTCAAGGGAAGAAAAGATTTTTGGAAACGAGAAATTAATCACGGTATTCCCGGGGTCTGTACTAGTAGTAGTAGTCTCCAGGGCTGAGGTGTAGATGCCAGTGTTTGCATCATCAATGCCAGTGACTCGGATGGATGAGGTAGTATTTGGAACGAAACATTAAATATATACCTGATGCCCAGGTGGAAGAATCGTTGTTATCTGACACAAAGATGGGTCAGTCCACGGACCTGCCCCGATCTACCCCGGATTCACGAGGCACATAGGTACGGATGGAGTTCGAGCCAGGGATTCACTCGAGACGGGGACACACCCGGGCAACCCACAGAACGGGGGCTGGATTTGTTTACCAATGGATGAATATCAGCGTCACACCTGAGATAATTCAAACCGTTAGATCAATGATCTTCAGAGTTGTGAGATTTCCAACAAGATACTAGCAGGATCAAACGAGGCGGCATCATATGCGTCGCGACTAGCATACTAAGTTTGAAAATGACTCGGATGGATTGTTCCTGAATGCATTCAAGTTCCAAGGTTCTAGTCAATTCCGTGTTACATGTAACCCAATTCAGTAGTAATAAGGATATTTGGTCGATGCATTTCAACGTTGATTCTGAGGCCGATTCTCTATTCTAAACTATCAATTGACTTGTTTATTGATGCGCGCTCTATACTCGCGCTGCTTCAGACTCATCTCCAAAAATATGTCGTACTTGGTCTGAAGTAGTCTTTCTTCCTGCATGTCGGTGGTAGGCTTTACCAGTCGACCTGGCTTGCTCATTTGACTTATTATCTCCCACAAGTTCTTTGAACCTGTTCCTGAGGCATCACTGGCTGCCATAGCAGCTAGCATAGCGGAGCCATGACAGACAGCGGCATGGAGATATTCGGGTACTACGATGGGCATCCTGCAAATAGAAGCAATTAGATGAACTAAGAGGTCGTTTTGTGTCTGAGAACCTGACATGAAGATTGACGAGATTTGATCTCCGTATTCGTTCATAGTATATTTGACGTGTCTGCAAAGCGATGAACTCCAGAGTCCCGTAGTAATGCAAAGCTAGATCGTGAATTGACTTGTCGCTTTTTAAGCCGATTACTGCGCCGCTCATTTGAGGGTCTGCAATTGGAGATCGATTTCCCCAGAGGTCGCCATAGAAAAAGAAGTGTTTGCCCACCAGAGCTACACTTGCTGCGTCCGTTCGCTTGGCCTCTTTGAGAAGATAGTCATTTAGGAAATCGTAAACATGAATTCCGCCTGTCTATGCGGCTTCCTTGACCCCCGAGTACGCTGGGTGGCCTTCAACAATATATCTTATGAGTTCGCCCGTTGCCGATTGGCCACCTTCAGCAAGATATGCGCCCAGGAAAAGAAAATCTCGATATGGGCCCCAGACTCCAGGTACGAAGAGTTCTTTGTTAGAAATCGCTAGATGGCAAGTGGATGTACCAGCCACTACAGCCAACCGATGTGAAACGTCTCCCTTCTGGTCTGCCGAACTCCCGAGTCCCAGGTCGACATTTGCACCAACTCTACCAATCCACCCTGCATACGCATCAATCACTCCACTACCGACGGCAATCCCGGGTGACATGCCCAGCTCGCCAGCGGCCCTTTCAGACAATGGCCCAACGCACTGACCGGCACTGAGATACTTGCCATTCTAAATTAAATTTTATGTTAGTAGTCCAACCAAGCCCGATTGAATTTAAATGACTCACATTTCCGTGAATACCACCAAGTCCAGAAAAATTATCCTCAGCAAGGTCCTGTAGACCGATCGAGCTCAGGAAGTCCAATTGCCAACCCTCTTCACGAGAGTCAACGCCAGAGGCAAGATAACCTTGCTTGCAAATGGCACTACAGTAGCTGCGAGTCTCTTGCCCAGTAGCTAGATGTGTGAGAGCATCCATAAGATCATAAAACTTGCAATCACGGAATTTCCTCGGATCCAAGTTGTTTTTGAGCCAGAGGATCTTGGGGATTTCCATTTCAACTGACATAGCACTACCGACGTATTTGAGAACAGGATGTCCGGTCGCATTTATTGTATTTGTCTCTTCAACTGCGCGGGGATCTAGCCAAAGAATGACATTTTGATCATTGCTCAGTTCTGATCCGCTGACAGAGACTGGAGTGCCGCTTTCCTTGCTAAAGACGGCCAAAGAGCAGGTGGCATCAAATTCGAACCCTCTTATGTTGCTTCGTGGTATGCCGGACTTTTGAATCGATTCCTTCACTGCTTCGCAAATGCAACTCCATATATTGGTAGTTGATTGTTCATAGTACCCTGAAAACAGTTGCTATGTTTTGATATCTCGGGATGCGAGTCCAAGAATGTTGCCGTTATTGTCAACGACACAAGCGCGGGCACTGCCAGTGCCTACGTCAATGCCGACAGAATAATGAATAATGTTTGTGTGAAGCAATTGTCATTTTGGACGAAGATGCAATCATCGGATTGAAAAAAAAAGAATAGGTGCACATGTGCTCTCAATCACAAACCTGGAGTTGTTATTTAAATTAAGAGCTATTCCAACTCACTTTCTATTTTTGAAATCGCCGTCCACTCATATCCTGTGCCTTGAGCTCAAATTTTGGTTGTCAAAGTAAAGGCAGTCCTGTTGGCATAGATATCCCCGAGACGGAGTGCGACCGCGAGACGGTGATAACTCCACAAATGCTGCACATGTGGCCAATGAGTGAAGACGTGCGGATTCGCAGCTGATAACGACGTCCTTATCCTCATGATCTATGTATAGCCCATCATTACTAGTGTGCGAATAAACCCATGCAATGGCCGAGAGGTGATATAAATATAAATATGTCCATTTACTCACAGTTTCTTTATTTTGTATGCAAGCTAGAATAGACTTCTTAGTGAAAGATCTGGGCAATTTTAAGCATGGTTCTCTCTAAACCTAACGATGTTCCTGTTCAAAAGCTCTTTGATCTGACCGGCAAGGTTGTCGCCATTACTGGTAACTAGACCTTGTTCTTCTGACTATCTCACATCTATGTAGTAACAAATCAGTAGGGGCGCCCGAGGAATTGGTTTAGCTGCAGCTAATGCATACGCCGAGGCTGGCGCTCAGGTATGTGCAGTTTGTCTGTGCTTGATTACGGTAAGAAGAGATTCTCACTTCATCTAGATTGCTATCCTATATCTTACAACTTCAACCGCTCCAGCAACAGCAAAAGAGATCGCCTCCAAGTACAAGACGCAATCTCGTCCTTATCATGCTGATGTGACTGTCCCGAAAGAAATCTCGACCGCAATCGAGGGAATTGTAAAGGACTTTGGAAAACTGGACGTTATCGTGGCTAACGCCGGGATTTGCTCTGAACATGCGGCTATGGACTATACTCCAGAGGAATTCCAAGAGATCATGAACCTCAACGTTAACGGTGCATTTTATACCGCACAAGCTGCCGCGAGAATGTTCCAACAACAGGGTTTCGGCAATGTGGTATTCACGGCATCTGTCAGTGCCACACTGGTCAATACTCCCCAGAAGCAAGCTGCGGTAAGTTCTTCCTCCTCTATCTGCGAGTAAATAAATTATTTCAAATTGCATTGCAATATCATATTCTCCGCTCACATAATATCTCTTTCAAATGCAGTATGACGCCTCAAAAGCCGGTGTCTTACAGTTAACGAAGTCTCTCGCGGTAGAGTGGGTGGACTTTTGCCGTGTCAATTGTGTATCGCCAGGATATGTCAAAACTCAGATAATGAACTATGCGTCTAAGGAGATGCTTGATACTTGGCTGTCTCAAATTCCGGTACGTCGATTCGCTTCTCCATATGAACTTAAAGGGGTAAGGAACTATAACCGGGCAGCGATTTTCAACCCTCTTGACCTTTTCTGACACGAAATACTCTAGGTTTACCTTTTTTGCGCCTCGGATGCGTCTAGTTATATGACCGGTTCTAACCTGGTGGTTGATAGTGGATTTACCCTCTCATGAACAGAGAACTTGAAAAAATGAGACAAGATACAATACTTATTCAATTATTTCCTCCTATTCGTGACCTCGGGATGCAATGTTAGCTAAGACATCATATGAAATATCTAATCTGGTGTATATGGTTCATCCAATGATAATTCAGAACTATTGTATGCAGTCCTGGGCTTTACCTAGGTAATAATTAGAAACCCTCGAAATACACACGTAAACAATAAATGCGGAATCCTTCCAAGGTTGTGCCTGTAGTTTGGATCATTGAAAAAGAGGACCAAAATCTACGTGGCATCAATATGTAATTTTAGTCCTCGTGGTATAAGTCCTTTAGGCTTCTTATAGTCTAAATTCAACCTTGGGAGTTTCAAGTTTTCAAATGGTAATATACTTAGATTCAAGGATGGAATCAGAGGTATACACTGTATAGTAAGGATGGAAACTAACAGGGAAATCTGTATTTGAAAAAGACTCGGAGAGAAATGGATATATGCTTTGAGCCTTTTTCTCTCTTGAACACTCGAGTCACAGTATTAAAGGAGCTTCAAGTTTATATCTTGACAGGTCTTCTCCAAAGCACACTAGTGAGTCTTACCTCTCATAGTACCGTCAATCCCGTTCAAATCACTATACAATCGCCACTCGTAGTCTAGGCTTGGATCGTTAAAGCGAGCCTTCGCATCCAACGTTTCAATCTAAGACATATCCTTGGGCTGTAGCTCAAAGTCTGCCTCCAAGTTCTGTTCGATTTGCCAATCGACAACACTCTTGGGAATAACAGAACGACCACTGTTAATACCCCACGCAAGCACCACCTGCACGGCACTTTTACCATATTTATCCCCAATCTCCTTCAAAATAGGTTGATCGATACGCGCATCATATGCGCAACTTCCTTGGACCACCCAGTCTGCCGATAGAAATCGTTCATATTTCCGAGCAGGCTGAACTGGACGACGTGGATTCCCTTGGCCTTTAGCCATTTGTTGAATCCTTTCTGTTGCAAGTAAGGATGAACTTCCATCTGGTGAGCGGCAGGGGTCTTGAAACGTAATCAGCTCATGTCCTAGGCCCGGCTTGAATATGATCTCTTACTGTAGAAGTTTCATTGAGCAAGGTTTGAATTTCGCCTTGGCTGAAGTTCGAGACTCCAATTCCCTTGACCCTTCCGGTCTTTGTCATTTTTTCCATTGCTTTCCATGTATCCACGAATGTGGTTTCTCCATGAATTATCCTGCCGTCAGCATCTCGGGGGAATTGATCTGAGCCACGCTTGAAGGTACACGGGTAGTGCATCAACAAAAGGTCGACATAAGGAGTATCCAATTCGCGTAAGGAGTCATCCAAGGCCCGTTCCACACCGTCGGGATGGTAATCACTACACCATAACTTCGTACCGAGGAAGATTTCTTCACGAGGAACTCCACTTTTCTTGATTCCCTTTCCAACTTGCTCTTCAACGTCGTAAACCCGAGCGGTGTCAATTAGGCGCATGCCCTTCCGTAATGCCTGGCTCACAGTATCTCCTTGAGAGTCCGGGTCTCGGAATCTGCCGAACCCGAGGGATGGAATTTTCACGCCAGTATTGAGTGTGTAAGAAGTCGCACGAGTGGCTCGGGTACAAGAGCACAAGTTTCGAGGTGCGATGAAAGATTTCCGAGACAACGACACCCGATTCACTCTGGCCGTAATAGAAATCATGATAGCAGGTTTGGAGGGCTGCTTAAGTTGCTGAAGCTCAATGATTTCTCCCTTTTGAATTCTCTTGTCCAGGACGGATCTAAATTGAAGCCAATGTGGAGATTGTCAGTTTTCTCTAGACACCTCAGACCTGGGGGGTTAAGTATTCCCCTACAAAGGTGGATTTCAAGGCCCCGCTCAGGAGCTTGTGGAGATGGGCCACAGATGGCTGCTTCCCGTGTCAGTGCAGCCCTCAAGTGTTGGGAGTTGACGAGGGACACGAAACGGGGACCAAACGCCAAGAGGCCCCCGTGACGGGCAATGCGAAGAACAGGGGTGGTTTTCCTATGGTTTTTTCATTCTTTTGGACTAATATTTTGTGATTTGGCTTTGAACTTTTGTAGTTTCTTTGGTAATATGTCTTTTCCTTTTATTAGTCTTGTAAAATTTAACTAACATCCAGGATACTCTTGCTCTATCAGGCAGGCGCCTTACCATAGCAAAAATAATTGCTAGATAGCATCCGGCTGATAGAATATCATCACATGCATAATCATCATCCTATTTCAAATTACTCGGCTATTACCGTAAGGGGATGAATAGGTGGATCTTTATGTTTTGTATACATTTGCCTTTTCACCCATCCTAGACATCCCTGCCATAGAGGATCTTCAGAGTGCAGTCTTTCCATCAATTCGGTTACCAACTCCCTTCCAGAATCTCGAGCCCACCACCACCGCTCCGCATTGAGCTCCTTAAGAAGGATTCCCCAGTGAGCAAGAATCAAGAGTGAGAATGGCTCTCGCCGGCGTATATTATCAATGAAATCCTTATCGACGGCTGCTAGCCAAGCGAGCACTGGAGCCGGGTCGGGGGAGCACGAGAACTTCATAAAACAGTACCGCAAATGGCTTATTACGTCTTTTTTAACCCGAAGATGAATTGAGCTCGAATTGATGGTTCCTTGTTCGTTCAGCATGACGAGGTGTTTCAGGGCAGCGTCGGTGTCTATTTCCAAGCTGCCTAATTCATCCTTCCAAAAAGTTCCCTGGGAAAAAAGCTCCAGGTTTATCCATGGTTGACTGAGGGTGAAAATCTTTTTAACACCTTGAAGAAGTTCAAAGACCGTAAGAATGTTTTGAATGCGAAATATATTCTCGCGGCCCGTGGTTAGCTGAGGGAGTGTAAGACTGATAGCTGTTGTGACGATGGCCTGGGCAATTGCGGCATCGCAATTTTCTGGCGTGATATTATCTATCAGAGTGCGGAATGGCTTTAAGCTCACGCTGTGATATTCAAGTCCGGCGTCTATATATGCTCTCCTATCTGACGACTCGCGTATTGTTGCGATATGTAATGAGGCCAGGGCCAGGATGCTGTTCATGAGAAATCGATGTTGAAGGGCAAGACGTGGAATGAGGATCTGCCAGGTCTGTGTCTCAGAATTACTGACACAGAGGCTTTGGTAGGTCTCCGTGGAGAACTGGTGCATCAGCTCTAACTCGTCGATGGCAGAAGGAAGACCAAGCGGAACTGTGAGTGTGATTGAATCTCCGTTCAAAGGTTTTACATATCCAGGCAGCACTGCAAGGGGACCCGAACTTCCGCAACCAGACTTGCTGATTAGATTCTGAGGTAAAACTCTAGAATATGTGCAACCACTCAGCTGTCGTAGAATACAGTTGGTACAGGGGGGGACCTTGTTCATCGCACTTAACGCGTCTCCTCCGGCAATGGTCACAACCGTAACGGGACTTGGTGTGAGGTTTGCGAGGCATTTGGCTGCCTAGTAGGAGAGGAGTTCGCAGCACATGGGTTTCATGGGGGAATTATTTTCCGACCCCCATCTCGCTTATCTGCCTGTATCTCAGAGGTTTTGCTGGGAGAACTTGCACGTCCGTGTGAATGAATGGGGAAAAAGGAAAAGGACGGGACGGCGAGACGAGAGGAGAGACTGACAAATACGAGCTACTCGCTGGGGTCAGACAATTGGTCGCTATTACTGGTCTGATCTCCACAGTCATTTCCCAGTGGCGACGTCATAACAACGGTACCCCGCATATCCCCGCATGTATTAAGGTAAATGCACGTGTGTATACACATGGTGTGAATTAGGATATTTCATTAATATTTGGAACACTATCAATCGAAGGCCCAACGTTTAAGACAGGTTTAGGAGATTTCACAGAATAAAGATATTAATATGCACAGCTTGAATCAAACAAGCCACTCAGTAGACAATCAGTTCTACTCCCTTTCACAAGCACTTGAGACAATGGAATAACGATATAAAAACCGAGTACTAAAGTAAAAGTCCAATGGCACCTATGAGACTGACGGTGACAGCAGTGAGACTTTTAAAGACTAGTTCGGTTGCTCCGTTGGGGGTGGGAGATGCAGTAGCTGATCCAGTTACAGTTATAGAATTAAAGGTCGTGGAGCTCGAGCCTGACGCCGAGCCAGAAGCCGATTTCATTCCTGATCCTACACTGGAAGAAACTGTTGGCGTAGTCATGCCGGACACGGAGGTAGCAACCTATGAAAGGTAAAGTCAGCAACATGTTGCCAAGGAAAGGACACAATGCATACTACTAATTTACCTCGATGATAGCGGGGCCAGCAACAATGTTGTCATCTGTGGCCTGACTGTTGCCCTGAGTGAGGACTACGTAGCTCTGGCCAGAAATGTCCTTGGGAATAGTGACAGTGAAATTTCCCTGGCTATTAGAGGTAACGGGGGTCCAAACAAGGCCTGTTACTGTGATGAAAGCTGCGTAGATATCTGTGAGATTTCCTATTTTGAAGTTGGAGCCAGTCATCAGCTGAACCGATGAACCAGACATTGCGGGGGCCGTCGAATTTAGTGCGAGGGAAGGGAAGGCCTTCACAGGAAGCTGTTGGTTGCTAGACGGACAGGAGACAATGAAGGGTGATGCGACTGTATAAACCTCGTTTAAGTCAAGAGGGTCATCAAAGGCTTGAGCGGAGGGGGCCTCCCCCAGCGCGGCACGTAGATAGGCACTATGACGCGCCTCGACGGTCAGAATGCTTCCAGCCGCGGTAAGGTAGGTATCATTCATAATAGAAGCAGCGGCTCCAAGGTAGGCGCTGACACCGACACCTGTGAATATGAGTACAAGTTCATTCTAGAGAGGCTTCCTTGGAAATCCTACCTTCTATAACGCTCGCGAGAGCAAGAAAGCTCTTCACATCAGTGGAAGGGAAAGAATAGTTGCATCTGGCCACCGGCTGGGCTCCAGCCGCTACACAGAGAATCTGTTATGTTGCTGTCCTCGTTCACTGAGTTCGGGTATGGCTGTGATCAGTACACACCTGTCAGGGCTTGAGTCAGAAACTGCTCGTGAGTCTGTTCATCTGTGCCAACCATTTTCAGGTTAGCGTAAAAGGGATCCTTCATTCCAGCATTCACAAAGTCGGCCTGCGTGTAATTCTTCAGGCCTTCCTCGTAGAATACAGCCTCGAGATGCTCAAGAGTCAGAGCATAGTTGAGGATATCGGCTAGCGAAGGGAATGTGAGTATATGATTCGAATGCCGAGTGTCAATAGGGTCATACCATCAGTGACACCATCGCGCTGATAGACAGGGCTGGCGTACGCAAACCCCAGCACCACGCCGTAGACGAAAATGGAAGTGACTTTCATATTGTTAAAAGAAAAGATGGATTTTGATCAAAAGGGTCATGAATCTGCCACTGATAGTGAATCATTTTACCTCATGCGTGGCAGAATGGCTGTTTATATAGACACTGGAGAGAACCATCATACTTGGCATCCTTCAAATCTGGAATACATCAATCTGGGCCCCGAGGCAACTTCCAAGGTTCAAGCTTCAAGGTTTCGACTGTAACTTCGGCAGCGTCACTATGTTCAGGACAGTCCATGTGTACATAGTTTCCATATCTTGGCAAGTCCAGATGTTTGTTCGTCTGATCGGTTCTTGATTGTTTTGATCGACGTCAACATGTGCTTCTTCGGGTAAAAGAGCATGGTCCTTCCAGGGTTGCTCAGCTAGTGACAGATTTCCGAAGTGCGTACCAGTACCCAAGTTTGGAAAATGGACACTCAATCGCTAGTCCGATTGCAGATACAGAAACTGGGAGTGATTCGCGGATCGAAGTTGATGGTTTTTATTTAGGTTCGTAGTTCGTCCGAGAATGCATTTCTCTAGGATGTGTCCTCCGTACATTCTAGTCCAATCGGAATTAATTCTAAACGGGAACGAGAGCGAGCGAATACGGACCCATAGTCATTATCAAGTATCACCCGTGGACCCATTAAGCCATAGCATGATATCATGGCCACCATGATTCCTAGCTTAGTTGCTGATTGTGGATTCCATTGAGACAAAACACTAATCATTCGGCAAAGTTGAACTCCGACAAGTCCAGATATTGGGAAAGAACATTTCAAGCTTGGAACTCGAAAACAAGTACATTATAAATGGGTGAGGAGATTTTGAAGCCTTGTTCTATTTCTAGATGAATGCCAAGTTTGAAAAAAGGACGAAAATCTTCCAAAGAGACTTCCAAGATTCGTGTAGATAGTCAAAATTCCATATACGATTTTGTTCGGCCATTCTCCATGTCAACTCCTTTTCAAAATTTACTCCACATTTTACCCCTTGAATTGATCAAGTTAGGTGTCATCAATCAAGACCGCTGATCTTTTGCTTAAGCCAAAGTATTTCCTCCAATAAATACCGATAAGCACGAAATAAGGCATTCGACTCTCCTGGGAAGATTTTTGCAGTAACATCATCAGGGTAAGATACGAAATGAGGATTGACATACTCCCAGCAGATATATCCATCATGTGTAACTTCGAAGATACGGCCAAAAGCACTTTCACATAAAAGGGTGTTGCCATTAGCAAGCCTCTGAGCACTTCCCATGAACGGTGTAAAAAAGTAAAGGATTTGCGACCGATCGCGATACTTCCAAACAATGTTTTTGGTCGCTCGATCAATTTCAATAGCTCAAGTGTATGTGATTGACTTTCCATGACGAAAAGCACCATTCTCAAATATGCGGATGTTACCATTTTCCATCTCTCTAGCATTGTGCTGCTGCGCCAGGACCTCAGATCCAACTTTCCAAACAATGTTTCCGGTGGACCGTTCAATAATAACGACGGCTGAAACAGATCGCATGGGTGCGAGAATATGTTTTCCATCTCGCAAAGGCAGAACAGAGTTGATCAGGGAATAGTGTTCGCGTGTATAATGCGCCTGAAGCGGAAATTCCTCTCTCCGTAATCGCTCGGAAACTTTCCATTGCCAAATGAGATTAACAGCTTCATCAACTTTGTTGATGGTGTCGGCATAAGTTGTTCCATCAATCTCAGTGTTTGGTACTCCTCCAATCACCTTTGCTGAATCTTCGGGAGATAGAGCCTCCAGGGAGGTATAAAGCATCCGACCGTCGCCATAATGATATAGGTCATGGTGCCCCAAGGGATCAATAGATTGGCGAACAATATTTCCATCTGGGTCGAGTTCAGACATCACGTCTCCACCATACTTGTTGAAAAAAGGGAACGGAAAGGGTCCTCCATCAGTGGCGGTCTGTTCGGAGGGTGGACGAAGGGTGTTAACGGCGAGATTCCCACTCGGTAGAATTCTGGCATGGCGGCCGATCCTGCCTGGGAGCTTCCAGGCATGTACTTCTTCGCCGTCAATGTCGATGAGATGGGCTATGTCACTAGTCAACGGACAAAAGACCGTAAAGCCTCCAAGTGAACGTTTCTTGTCGACACCAGTCAGGCTGACGCCTCGCCTTTTGAGAGTGTTTTGCTCCATTACTACCACGGGCAGGGTGATTAGCGACCGAGAAGAAAAAGTGCGACAATGTAGCGTAATAAGACCTGAACCTGAGAGCATCGAACTTCAAGAAGCCAAGTGTGTGTTATATTCAAAAATGTTTTTCGTCTTGTGATAAACTCCATAAAATGCGACCGGCGGCATCCCCACGGCACCGCGGCTTGCCGACAGTATGCCGGCGGCTTGACAAATGAATGTTGTGTTTATCAAATGAAGATCCACAACTCAAGCCTTTCATCCAGGTTAGAGATAGGTGAGTCTGATAAGCACGCCATATTGGCTTTCATGGTATCTTAAGCATCCCAAGATATCTGTCTATGTTGCCAGCAAGTTGCGTTATCATGTCATATCATGGACACTGTATAAAAGTGTTGTTATTGCCTGAGGGCTTGATCGAACATGATATTTAGGTCGTGATCATTTAGTCTGCCACCACCGAAGTTACCCTTGAGTTATTTTCCCTTATTTATCAAATTTCAATAAGCACTCTTTGGCTGAGAAGAGGTCTACTATTCATGATAAACTCCAACCGGAGCCAACTCCCCACGAAAGGAATCAAATCCCTTGGTACGATGCAGATCTGCAATTAGAACAAAGAGAGGTTCGAGAAGCTTTATTGAAGGTCGATTTTCTCACTCTGCCCCCTATTGTGCTATGCTTCTGTTTTCTACATTTTGACCGTACGAATATTGGGAATGCTCTCACTCAGAGTCTGAAAGATGATATAAGGATTGGAAACAAGGAAGTCAACCTTGCCCAGACTCTGTTCAAATTCAGTTTTATCATCACAGAGCTCCCTTTGAACATGGTCAGTAAATATATTGGCCCTGAGCGATTTCTCCCCATTACTATGTTTCTCTGGGGCATTGTGACATGGTCACAGGTGTTCATGAAGAGTGCAGGTGGCCTCTACGGCACACGATTCTTCATTGAAGCACTCGAAGAAATCCCAGGCTTTGCGCTTTACATCTCGAGGTGCTATACAAACCAAGAACTTGCATTTTGATACGCTATAATTCTGGGCTGCAAACAGCTTTGCTGGAGTGCTAGGGGGACCACTGTCGATTGGTCTCCTCTCACTTGATGGCAGGGGTGGGCTGCGCGGATGGCAATGGCTTTTTCTCATTGGTATGTTAATCCACTGATGCACTGCATTCGATCATCTGACGGTTAGTAGGGGGGGGTCTTAACCTGCCTTTTGGGTATTGCCGCCTACCTTTATTTCCCTCACAATGCCGCTCGACCAAAAGATTTGTTTGGCAAATCCTTCTCACCTTTCACCTCCCGGGAGGCCTCTGTCCTTGTTACTCGAATCATTGATAATGACCCAACGAAAGCGCTCAGGTACGGAAAGGCCCTGTTACCATTTCACATCCTGCAGACTTTCGGTGACTGGAGATTATATGGCCATCTTGTGGCTGCACTACTATCAATGGTCATGATTTCGCCGATTAATACTTATGCGCCTTCAATCATTGAGTCCCTGGGCTTTACATCGCTGCAAGCAAATGGTCTTAACTCTGTGGGCAGCATAGGTGCATTGATCTGGTCTGTGTCGCTTGCATTCAGTAGTGATAAGTTCCAGGAAAGTGGACTTCACATAGCCATTGGATACCTGTGGGGAGCTATTGGCCCTCTGTGGCTTGCCCTTGCCCCAGAGAATGTCGGGAAATAGACACTCTATGGTTCGTCTATCTATAAATTGGAGATGGGTCAAATGCTGATGGTTTGAATATACTTCAGGAGGGGCTGTTTGGACTCAAATGGGAATGGGAAGTGCACAGGCTATCAGTGCAGCCTGGTTGACTGCCAAAATGCAAGACTATAAGCGTCCAGTGGCTTTGGCTGCGTATGTCATGTGTATCCAACTAGCAAATTTCCCTGGAAATCAACTATTCTCATCACAAGGTACGATCAATCTGAACATTCTCAGGGCAACGTGTTTAGATGCACCTCGCTACACACACGGCTTGATAATAGCCGCTTCATGCACCATAGCGGCTACTGTGGTTATCCTGGTGTGGAAATTACTGTATCGCATCCTCGATGGTGGGGACGCTGGTCTACAGTCCAGGAATAATTATCCTGAAACTTAGGCTATCGATTAGAAATAGGGTGTGATTTAATTCAAGTCAAATTCAAAGATGTCAAAGATGGTGTTGGGCCAATTTTAGTCCTTTGATATTGAGATGTGGTGCAGGAAGCCGGTTTATCCGAGTAAATTTTGAATATGTCACACACCTGCCCACCAAAATTGAACTTGAATTGAGTCAATTGATTCGAGTCTCTTATACTCAAGATGGGGAAGAGGGACACATGCCCAGATGGACAGGAATGGTTACTATATCATTCAACTTCTTATTTGAAGACATCATCCAATATGACATCTGGAAAGATCATACATTTAGTATTCAAGTGTCGTGACAAATTTGAAGTGATTGGACTTGTTGAGTCAATTCAGGTCGGGATATTGTTACAATGCCGCCTCTGCGCTCGGGAAGGGCTTCAAAGGCATGTGACCCCTGCCGCAGGAACAAAACCCGTTGTTATGCTGGGACAGGTCCTGGGAACAGTTGTCTACGCTGTCATACTTTATCAATTTCCTGCTCTCTAGAGAATTTTCTCCAGAGCAGCCTGTCGCCATCCATTCCAGACACACCAAAGCAGCGTGAGACTATTAATGAAAAATCAACCCCTTGTAGAAAGTCATCGACAGATGCAAGGTATGATCTGTGCTGAAAATAATGGATCAATATTGATATAGGGATCTACAGACTCCAGAGGCTAGAAAAGACCGTGGGGATATTGGTGGACCGTTTAGACGCACAGTTCAAAGGTCAAAGAGAATCTTCGGCCCACCGTACTTTGCCTCCACCTGAGGCGCCGATAACATCATCCGAGCTTAATCCAGCGCCGATTATTTTGATTCGCGGTGCTGCAGATGACGCTGGTGTCTCATCACAGGAGCAACCAGACTACCAGCTTCATTTTTCATCTGATGTGATTTCAGCTGGATTGATCACAATACCAGCCGCCCACTCCTTGTTAAAGATGTGAGTGTGGAATTCCAAGTGGAAGTAGTAACCGCCGTTGCTTATATATTCTAGATTCCAAATACATTACGGCCGATGGGTCAAATTCCCCAACGATGTATCAACAGAGACGCTTTTATCTCGAGCGAGTTTTGAAGGGTGGACGGAGCTATTGGCAGAGTCAAGATGCTTCAACTTGGAGTCCGTGGTAGGCATGAAAGGGCCGAGTCTGTCATAAAGATCATCACCAGAGAGGTATGCCACTTTGAGATTATACCCTTTCTCAGCGCTCTGCAAACGTGAATCTGTTAGCAACCAGTCATTCTCAATGGTTTGATAAGAGATCAATCAACCCACGAGCCTCTATTTTCAATGCTAGCCCATACGGATGAGAGCTCCGCCGTTGATCACCACTCGAATTCCCTTTTCTGCAATAAGGTCTATTGTATCCTTCAGGCCATCCCACGCCGCAGCTTCGTATCCTGGGTGATTTCCTGCACGGTGAGCCTCCGCATTATTGGCTAAATTGACTTTTGTTTTTAATAATTTGAATCAATTTCCTTTCCCTTTTTTTCTAATAATCAAGATTGGTTACAGGTGACTCTTACCAGCAAGGTAGTCCCCCGTGATAAAATCAATGTCACCCAGGCTAGCCTGTCGTCTCATTTTATAATAAGGATCGCCTGTTTGAAATCGATGACCTGGTATTAGCGGCTTGCACTAGTGTGGATAAGAATCTTCCACTTGAGCTCCTATGTAAATATTTGCCACTAAGCCTACATAATCCCCCTCAGATTCAAGTTTGTATTTTATCTTGAGCTTTTGGTGAATTTTGACTTTCCTACTCCCATATGGCTACTTACTCTGTCCTTACCGAGTCAGCTCGCGTGCTGAATGAGCATCTGCTGGAATCCAAAGATATTCATCTTCCACAAGCATTCAAGGAAGCCGCCAAATTGGTCAAATTTGTTGGCAGTGATATCCCCTTTATTCCTACTCTTCTCAAGATAACTGAGTCTAGCTCCGCATTGAATGCATTGGTCGCTATCGCATGCAGTGCAATTTCCAAGGATCGATATGGAATTGATTATCAGAACGTCGAGGTGAACATGTAAGAACCCTGTCCTCTTTTTATGAAGACATCATTACTAAAACGGATTTTCAGTGATGTGGCCTCTCTTTTCTTGATGTCGCTTATCCTTGCCACTATCAATGGCAAGTCAGCACTCGAAAACTCTCAAATTCAGACTGAAATTGAAAAGGGGAACCACTACGCGATGGAGAAGCCCATTCATCGCCAATGCACCAATGTTTACCAAACTAAAGACGGGCGACACTTCCATCTTCATGGTTCCATGAATGCTACTGCTGCCATGAAGATGGTAGGGGCTCCTGAGCAAGACGTTTTTCATGAGGAAGCGAGAGAAATTTACATGGCCAAGGTTGCTGAATGGAATGCGGACGACATTGACCGCACTTCCAACGATGAATACCGCCAGGCAGGTGTTATCTGTTCCACACCAGATGAATTCTTCGCGTCTGAACAAGTAAGCTTTCTCTTCATCTTACTCTGGCCCCTTGATACCACAAGACTTATAATATTTACTAGGGGCGAGCTATGGAAAAGGAGCCTTTGTATAGACTGAAGAAGCGATCTGCACCGATCAGTTCTTGGCCTTCGGTCAAGGACAGCTCCCGGCCGCTAGCTGGAATTCGTGTCACTGACTTTTTGCGAGTCATTGCTGGTCCTGTCATCTCCAAGGTTCTTGCTATACTTGGAGCTGAAGTTCTGAAAGTTACTAATGATGAGTTGCCTGATATCACTCCCACTTCGATCGATTTCAGTGTTGGAAAACGGGACACAAATCTGAACTTGAAGTTCGCGGAGGGTCGCCAGAACTTCCAGCAATTGATCGACGGTGCAGATGTTCTGATTGATGGATATTGCCCGGGTGCCTTGGAGAAAATAGGGTTCAACGCGGACTCTATGTGGGAAAACAACCCCTCTCTCATCTATCTTCGTGAGAAATGTTGTGAATTTGCGGGGCCTCTTGCATACCGCTCCGGATGGCAACAGATCAGTGACTGTCTAGTGGCTTTGGCATGGCTTCAAGGAGAGTTCTTTGGCTTGAATGAGCCAGTCCTTCCTCTACTTCGTACGTAGCCAAATATTCCCTTACATCGGATCATCCATAGGGTCCCTGATACTAATTACTATCTTTAAACCAGCTAACTCCGACTACCAAATGGGCCTTGCTGGCGCTGCAGCTGTCTGTCATGCATTGTTTGCTCGTACTAAGGAAGCCGTCACATTTGATATCGATATCTCTTTGACACAGTATAACATTTGGTATTACCGTCTGGGCCTTTACGATTCTGACCAACAAAAGGTCCTCTTGAAACAGAAGGACTGTGTTTCCTTCCGTGATTACGACGACATGTCATCCCTGATAATGAAAACCTTTGCTACCGTCAAGAACTGTCGTCCAGATTTATTTGAACATCCGGAGTACTTCCAAGAGATTAGCGGCAAAGAATGGGGTATTCAAGAGAACATCAAGATCCTATCTGCTCCATTCAAACTCAGCAACTCTACTTGAGGAAACGGAATTCCATCAGGAAGCTGCGTTCGCTCAGAGCCAGTTTGGTTGAGCCGCCACGTATGAGCCTCTCATACGATACTCGGGAATGATGAATGGTAATAGTTAAATTTGGGGAGGCTTGCAAAGGAAAACTTATATAAGAATTGGGCTTGGACCTTGGGATGAATGCTTGAAGATCATGAGGCTGTTTCAGTGCTGATCAACTCGAAATGTTACTAGTATTTGAATTTTTGTTTGAATAAATAGCACTTGAGGGACCCATCTCAAGGGCCACGATTTGCCACCAGTACTCGTAGTAGCTCTATACCATGGATGCAGTCAGCCTCACTATAAGGACCTGTATATGACAAAAGAGTCTCTATAAACATTTGAAACTTGAGTTTCAACTTATTGATACAATACAGATGGCAAATTCAAGGCCGTCACATTAATGACTGTTTAATGAGTTTCCCGCATTCAGATTGAAGATAATAAAGCACGCTTACACATCAAGGTGTTATGTGGAATGCGTCAGACCCAATTCAGTTCCACGAATAAAAGACCAGCTTGTCACCTGCTGTTTTGACATTAATTCGTCAAAAAGAAACCTGGAAAGTTCCTCTTCCTTGCCGACACCTATAATCGAGCCGTATAATTGACCACGAGTCTGTAGTTCCGCCTTCAGACTTTTGAGAGCCATAGAGACAATGACATTAGAATTGACGAGTCCCTCACAGTGAGGCCAGCACTCTAAGGTGTGGATTGCTTGTAATCGAATTGAACAGTCTGGACACTGCGATGCGACGACCCACAAACCCGGAACGACACCGTAGTCCAACGTGAACGATGGCCGATCGCCAGACTTGGCTAGAAATGCTTGATGTGCTGAGAGGAGGCTGATGTACTCTGGTGTCAAGGCAGCAGGTACTGGTCCTTTGATGAGACATGTCTTCAAACTAAGGATCTGTGAAAGACTCTGCAGTTGAAGTAAATCAACACCTCGCTGATCGCGGTCGCAAAGTGTATGATAGATGTCCCGATAGAATATCCCAAAATGGTACTGAAATTCAAGATTCAGGGACAATATATGTTGCTGCGTTTGAAAGAATTCGTTGTATTCCGCCGCAATCTGAACAGCGGATGATGGCCAGCATCGAGCGAGAAAAGGGAGACCCAGATTCAACAATATTGTCACACTCCGGTGTACATCCGTCACATTTTTCATTTCAGAAAAATGATTTTTATTTCCTACGTCATCCTCAATTTGGAGATCATTGAGTAAGAACGGAGTGCCAGGCCCGAAATGCGCGGATTCAATGTCGAGTCGTTTGAAGAAATGGATCAGCGAATCATCTAAACTAATTTTTGAATGGTATGCCTGTGTTTCTTCGAGGATACGAAGCCCACTATGGAGATGTTGGATGGCATTGTCATACCGTCCAAGTAGTAACTCGCACATGACAAAGAGCAGGCAGCATACCAGGACAACTTGTCGATATTGAGGATCGTTCGAGGCTCGACGTTTGGAAAGATGAGTACAAGCTCGTGTGGACTGTTCAAGTGCAAAAGTGTGGCGAGCTCGCTGGAGGTTTTCCCTGACAGGCGCATTTCGTTGGCGTTCGAGTCTTCGTGAAGCGCACCGAGCATATTGGCTGCATGATACACCGCAGGGTCAACATGACTAATTTGTAAGATAATTTTTTGCCAAAGAGAAGAGTCGTAGAAAGCTCCAAACCCAGGAATGGAGCAATTACGAAAGTATGAAAAACATCGTCGCTCATCGATGGTGGTGACCCACGCCGGGTGAGGGGAAATCCCTTGGGTTAATAAAAGAGCTCGCTCCTTGATGGGCAAGCGCTGCGCATCATAACCATCGCATTTACGGCCGGTTGATTTGCAATTATTGCATTCATCGGGGGTTTCGTCGCATCTGATATGTCGCACGCTGTCTCACCAGTCATTACAACACTTATTCTCCGTTTGATCCCGCAGGATCTGGGGGGAATCTTGGAATCTTGGAATCAGGGGTAATACCCACCGGCATGTTCGACATCCCCTTCGCGACCGTGTGCTGTATTTCCTGCGTTTTGTAGTACTTAGCATAACGGGGCTATTTGGGGGAAGTGATAAATATTGAAGTAACAAATAAATGAATGGCTATGATTTTTCAGCCACACATGCAGTTGCATGCTTGAGATTCAGCTTAGAATAAGGCGATAAGCGAGAGTTGGGGGCGAAGATGTGGAGCTTGAGATAAAATAGTTCACAAATTGACCAGTTGGCCGGTGTATCCATTCAAAATGTAGTAATACCATTTTATGTATTGACTTTGAGTTGTTTCATATTTGAAGTACTATCGATGTATAAGTACCTACCTAGTAACCTTGGAATGAATCACTGGCAGTTTTCAAATAGGCACCGTCATCTTCTTGCCACTAGTCAACGATTTTGGGCGTAGGCACTGAAGTTACTGACCCCAAGAACCGAACGTTTGCGGCTTCGAAGTTGGGTGGCTCGACACCCTCCTTCAGAATAAGCCTTGAACCCAGAGACCACACTCATCGATTGCTGACACCGTAAAAGAGATTCACGTGGCTTTCGTAACGACACTCGTCTTGACGTGCCGACGACCAGCTACAAGCTGAACAGGCCTTTTCAGTGGTCATTTGGATGACGAACTTGATAGTTGAAGACGCTTTGGAAATATAAAAAGGATGGGTACATGAGTGGTTCTTATAACAAGATAGGGGCAGATCCTTACTCCGTGCGCAGCACAAATATAGAAACGCAGGCTGTCACGTACTGGCTTTTTCTCATCGCATTATGATCTATACCTCCTTGAACCCCAATAAAAAGGAGCGGCGAAAAAGAATACATTTCGCATACAGTGACTACTTTTAAAAGTATGAAAACGCAAAACATTTCTGTTTCTCTCGGTCGCAGACTGAAGAGGAATTGTATTCTGTGCGCAGTGCTGACGGCAGGAACACTTCATTATCAATCGCAAATTCAACATGACTGAATCACACTCCTTCTCATAGTAGCATATATGTTTTGCAATTCTTGACTCTCTTCGATATAGCTGCCTCCTTGCTGCTTGATCACAGTAACTATGGCCGACATTCGAGGCGGAGCGTCAATGTCCGCCCGAGCCTCCTCACTACAAAAAGAAACCCAAGTTTGATATCATCATGATATTCCCAAGGCTTTCTTTCACTTACAGTTTGCCCAGTGATTTCTGGGCGAACACAATTCGCCAGGTCCATTGTGGCCGTCTTTGTCTTCCCAGCATATTTTGAACTGTTATGTAGATTTCTTCAGCCGCACGAAGGAGGTCAAGTATTGGAGAGTCAGTCGACCCAAAAACAGGTACAGCGAACCCTGAACTTTACAGAACTTCCAGCCTGAAAGAATTGAATCGCAATGTTGTGAATAAACTTGTGGTAGCTTTTATAGACCGCAGGGAAATGAACATAGAGTTTCTTCAGTCCGTTCCACTGTATCCAAGATGCGAAAGCACGCCGGTTTCACATCTACAGGCCAGGTTTTGCCGGGTTCACATCTCCCTAAAGTATTAAGAGGGATATATCAGAATCATATATGCGATAGAGTTGTCAAATTAAAAAGTTACCTTTCGTCGGAAATATCCATTTTCCAATCTAGCTGGCATCAACCTTTCGAGCATCAAACTTTATTCTGCTAAATGTCGCCCTATGACCATAGAGCTCTTGTTTCATTGAGATGACCCCGCTCGGTCTGGAAGATAGATGGATCAAACACCACGATACATTCTCATTACAAAAGGTTGAGTAAATTAGTCTTTGCTAACTCTACACTCGTATTCTCTCCTTGCAGCGAGAAAAGATTATCATGGAGACTGACCATAAGCCTTGAAATGCAATTTATGAACAGTTAGAGGTAACAGGTAGTACTAAGCTAAAGGAGCCGAACTTTACTCATGATGGACTCCTCCAGTGGCCGCCCTGGTGCATCTGTAAACTGGATGTCCTCTGGGTCGTTCCCTATTGAGAAGGGGTAGAGTAAATCAAAGACATGCCCATGACCGTTCCTCCTAGCCCAATCAGCAGGAGTCTCGCCAAGAGGATCTCTCATTCGAGGCGACGCTCTGTAGTTACCCAAATGCTTGACCGAATTTAATAATCCATTTGCCGCTGCATGGTGGAGGGGAGCGATACCATTATAGTACTCATCGCCGTAATTTTAATACATGATGTCATTTGGGGAATGCTTGAGATCCAGCTTGGACGTGAAACTGAGAAATTGTTACACTAGGCCATTCTAGGTCAATGATGCTGAATGGAATTAGAGCACTGCTATAACTCGACGCTACGGTCAATGAAGATCACCAGTTTACCTCTCAATGACTGCTGATCCCATAATTCACTGGGGAGAGATCGAACTTGTGTCAACAAAAATCGGCCTGAAATACAATATTGCCTTGAGCTATTCCCTTAGCAGCCTGTGTTGTTTGATAATCGAACGGCACGGCCCAAAATTCATCTTGATACGGCTGAAACGCGTAGGCTGTTGGTCGGGTTGGTAGACTGAAAACTTCCCCTTGAACAATCTCTTGGGTATTCGGATTTGATCCAAATATATGATTGAGCAGTCGGTCCGAATATTCTTGGTCGCAATCTTGTGTGCTTCGAGACGAATTCTGACTGCTATCGAGGTTGATATTTTTCTGGAAACCGTGATTTACCGTTTGATCACGGTTATGTGATCAGTTATTATAATACTCTTCTGGCACGATCAATCTGGATTGTCGGCCAAAGTTTGGAGCAGGATCCGCGTCGCGAGGTGGTGAAAGTGGCGTAGTATAGGAAACAGCTCGTCGATTCGAGCTTTCGGCATGGTCTTGTGTCGCTGGGGTCTCAAATTTGATGACTCTGGGCGGTAACCTAGTCTGTACGACCGACCCCGCTCCTTGCTTTGACGGATATTTACGTTTTTTCCCTTTTTTTGGTGCAGGGAGTCTTCCACTAAACTCTTGCTTGAAAATTTCAACTTAGGACTCAAAAACGTTGCCTATGCTGCGTATGATGCTTGAGGCTGCTTTTATCACCCTATCCTCTTACGTGAAACCTGTGGAATCGTAGTGAGAAAGGACGGCGTCCACATCAGCGGCTCCATTCAGATGCCGTTCATATCTAAAAAAAGTCAGCAAGTCCTCAATATAAGTAGAGAGGAGTAACCAATAAATATGATGGCAGGACCAAGAGGTAGAAAATGATCCCGTAACCTTGCCTTTAGACGTACGGTTCATACATACATCCAATTTTATAATCGGCTTTTAACTGATCCTTGGTTTCTTCTTCGCTTTAAGGATTTTCCTCGCCAAAATCCATCAATACCATCTGGGCGCAGAAATATACAATATTGGACGTGAAAGACTTGGAACCATGAAGCTCTATTAAACGACGAATTACCCGCAATATTGCCAGGCTATGAAAAACACGACGGATGGAGTCTGCTGTGTCTCTTCGCCTATTCGAATAGAAAAGGGCACTAAGAACATTGTGGTAAACATATTGTGTTGTCGACGATACACCATCAGACTAAAACAGATATCCTTCATTCTCCCAGAGTCCTAAGCTTTCATCCACAAAATCTGGAATCTTCAAGTTATCTAGTGCAACGCTCAGTCAATAATAAGCCAGGTCCAAGCTCTATTTAATGACTATCGGGCATATTTCCCAGCATCAGAGACACGAGTCATCTACGCTATTTATCAAGGCCAATAAGCATTGCCCAGTCAAGTCAAAATTATGCAGGGTCATCTTCGAGCAATAGGTCTTGCTCTAACCTTGAGATACTATACGGTCCCTGTGAATCCGACTATTCCAGATCAGGGGACGGTTGTGATTATGACTGGACCGAACGGGCCTTTGATGTACCATGATGATGTCCAGATTTAAAGACTACATATGTTCTTGAGGTCGAGCGTTTGCTGTTATTGTCATATTAGGTCAAGATATCAACCAAAACGGGTTCAAATAAGCGCGCCCGGGAAATATTCTGCACCCCCATATGCCTGATGAATTTAAGGCTTTTAGCGACCTTATTCAGTTAAACCCCCTAGTTATTTATTCTGCATCTCTATGGTCTTTCACAGTTCAAAATCTCAAGTACTCAATTGGCCATGCCCGTACTAGTCCATACTATTATATATACGTTCCAACACAACGCACATGCACTAGGTTGTTATCAAATATCAAATGTTACGTCGGGTACAGTCGATAGCGAAAACAGCTTCTACCCTTTTGGTCGCTTTTCTTCTCGGGCCCTACTACCAAGGCCTTAGTATGGATCTTCGATTGAGGGCCCACTAGTAATTTGAGGGCCATTGAATAATACATTATGTATAGCAGTTGTAATTTGGCCTATAAGATTGGATACACCTCGAACTATTAGCGGTGAACCGTTGGCCCTATGTTATTAGCTCGTACATATTTTACGGAGGCCCTCATTTTTTGCGATCCATTAAATAAAGGATCCGCGCTAAGATATTAGTAGTGGGGCCCGAGAAAAGAAAAGCGACCAAAAGGCTATTGACTGTATCATTAGTCTTGAGCACTTTTAATTGACACTTTCACCGCTCCAATTACCCTTGAGATAAACACCACTTGAATTTTGTAGCTTCTATCGCATGATAATAATTTCTAAGTACCACTGATTTATTGTTTGATTGGTGTATCTATGAACCTTAGCATGTATAGGAGGAGCATTTCCGCCGGGCACGAAGTTCAATCCTTTCCCGATTTATACCGATTTCGGATCAACCCCGCTATTTTATCCTTTGCATTAGCTAGACCCACACAACAGCTGCGCGTGACTTTATCACATACAGTATGAAATAAATACTTAAGTGACGATATGTTGCTCTTGGGAAGAATTTTTATTTACACAATAAGCCAACATAACAATTCTTAAATTTCTTCGTCTTCTATGGATATACGGCTTCTGTTAGACGAGGAACTCGTCAATCATCATAAACTCCCAGTTCCTTGTCGAACTGCATCAGCCACAATTGAAAAAATGCGCTCTCTGTGCTGCGATGAGAATTTGAAAGATTTCCAGGATACGATCGATTTACTCCTTTCGAACCCTCAGCCTGAAGCTTTTGATATAGTGGATCTTCACGATGTGATGATGGAAGCAATTCAACAGGACAGAGAGGAATTCGTTTCAACCCTTCTCTTCCATGGCTTCCCAATACAGCCTCCTTACACTCGAAAGGCAACACTTTACAAAGCGAAGCGCGTCCTTGGGTGCTTCCTCAAAGCAGGATGGGATATTAATGAACCGGTTGGTGTTTTGGAGCCGCCTGTGCTTAGGTATGTTGGATCCGCTTGCCAGAACGATATTTAAATGACCAATTGCTATTGTGATAGCTACGCAGTAAGGGACGCCGATATGACCAGTTGGCTTTTGGACCATGAAGCAAACCCGAATGCCCGATGCGAGGTGGACTGCACCCCATTATCATACACTGTTCGAAATGCACGTCTCAGTGTTATCGAGCTGATGCTGGATCGTGGAGGAGATGTGCAGAAAGGACAGCTTCTCCAGTATGCCGTATTTCGAGATGAAGATCTTGAGGATGTCATGACGCTGCTCGTCGATAGAGGTGCGCCTTTAAATGCAACAATGTATCGGGATGACCCCACTTTGATACGATTTGCGCCAATGAGCTTGGGGACTGCACTGCACATAGCAACAGAGCAGGGAAAGTCGAATGCCATACGCCATCTGATCCATCTCGGAATAGATTTTGGCGTGAAGGATGCTAATGGCGACACCGCTTTGGAGTGGGCACAGAAATGGAATAATACCCAAATGGTGCAGCTGTTGAAAAGCTTGGAAGACCGTTTGTAAATATCCGTGAAGTTCTTGCGTCGACTTAGTGTCAATTTTATTCTGTTAAGTTAGTTCACTCATAATGCCAAAACTTTTGGACTCACCAGGATAGAATCGCTCTCCCTATTTGCTGTATTCTCATGATCTGATAAGACACAATGAAGTCATATAAGCATGTGCATTCTTGATTTGATTTGTGTGACGGTGTACATGCTGACAATTCAAGACAGTCGCGCTATCCATTCCATAAAAACGCGTTATTACGCGTGTCAAACCATCGAAAAGCATGGCAGAAGACGCTTTATGATTATTCGACCCTAGAGACTATGCTATATCTATGCCAATCGAAAGTGAATCCAATATCCTCGGGCTCGCCTAAAAAAGGCGTATCAAGTTCGACTGAGTGATATACGTGGCGACAAGCCGGGGGGCAAAATGTTTCATCTCAAATGTAATGCTGCAATTAGCCATAAATTGCAGTACTGGCTAAGGTCACGAGTATACGGTATTTTCGTAATTGACCTGTCTCGTCGGACTCTGTGTTTATATATTTCTTGAACATATTTCTTGACTAAACTGCTTGCCGGCAGGGCTTCAGATTGCTCAACCGAACAATTCTGACTGGAGAGGACAGACATTTGGCTTTCAAAAGATCTGCCTCATGAATCTCTATCCGAGAGAGCTTGGCCGATTGAGGATTTAGATACCTGGACACCTTGTATTCTTTTTGCGCTATCACTCGCGACTCCCGCCTGATATCCATGGCTCCCCGGCCCAGAGTCAAGGTTTACTATCACAGATTTCTCTTGCATCATGGTATTAATGCTCAGCTCTGCTGGTAAGCCTGGCAGAGGTGACGGTACGAGAGACGAACAGCTTAAGGAGATTCCGGGCGGAGTAGGACAATGATCAATCTCATCACATGTCTCACACGTGACCGTGGCGGCCTAATCGGGTAGACACAGGAGGTCAGTCACAACCATTGGGATTCATGTCAACAGACTCACCTCAAGAATTGAATACAAATAATGTTAATCTTTCTTTGTGAGGAAGTATGGAATAGCAAGTCTCATAAAGCTAAGCATAGCTATTTCGGTCTTTTCTTGGTCAGCCTAGACTCTGGATGATACAAAGGGTCATTCTCACAGTTGCTAGGTACGATTGCCCAAAGCTTTCAAGATATGCACCTACTGTGATGACACCTGAAAAAAAGCAAAATATTACGGCCGTGAGAGCTACGACTTGAAGAGCCTGTTGATGATTGGAGGCCTGTCTCCGGAAGAAGTATTCTGCTCTGTATGTGGTCAAGAAAGAAACTGTCCTGTAAGTCAAGAATAGGCCGATCAAAGCTGTGGAGTAGACAGAATTACGTCAGTAGCAGCAGTGATTTCGCGATCGGGAACACAATAAAAATATTTATTGACCAGGACTTCTGATTCGCAAGGCCGAGAAACTTGTGGGTATTAGCAGTATCCGTGCTGAAGTTGAGTGTCCGTATTGACCTCGTTTATGGGAGGAAGAAGAAGTAAAAACCCCAGCTCAACCGTCAGAGCAGGCCGCGAGGGATCTGTACGTAGGTCTTGTTAGCTAATGACTGGAGACGCCTCGGCGCTACTCACCCCTTCGTATAACAGGTTGATAAGTAGCCAATGCTATTGACCCAAACAAGCCGGCACAGACCAGCACTCCCACCGCAGCCTGCGAGAGTATATAGGGCTTCTGATGGAGCAAGACAAGTCGGGACTGTTGCCCATCGGATATCAGCACGAGCCAAAGTAGAAGAGATATCACAGCACATAAGGAGGCCACTACTGAAAGAGCAATTTGGGAATAATCAATCTCTGCCATTTTGAAATAATCTTTCTGCGCTTACATTATTCGTCCCATGGGTGTCTTATAATATTCTATTTTCAGGTCTGAGGCATGAAGACTCCGCCAGAATTACTACTTTTATGGCATTCTCTGAGGATCTGAATATCTTGCAGACTATGGTTTTGGGTGGATCCAAAAAAATGACGACTTTTCAAAAAGCATAAATAGGCGTAGACCACAGGGTTTGGACCCGCCGTAGCCGGTCTTGAGGACCAATGAAGGTAACCTGACCCAGAAGTGAAAACCGGTTGGTCAGCGATCTATGTCAAAAAACCAAGTCTTCTCGCGTATACCAGTGGAAATCTCGAGAAGCAAATCGCTCGCGAAGTCGAAACATGCGAAATTCTTCGCAAGAACTCCCATCCAAACATAGCGACCTATTACAGCTACGAGGATACTCACGGTCGAGTATCTGGTCTATGTTTTAGACGATATACTTCAACACTACTTGAAGCAGTCAATCCCCAACGTCTGGGCAAAGTCGCTTTCCTTTCAAGTGCGCGCGAACTGGTGAAAGCGAATATGAAAAGTGGACTTGAAGGAGTTTTGGCCGCCATAAAACATCTCCATTCTTTCGGACTCGTCCATAACGACATTAACCCTGCAAACATTATGCTTGATGCTGACGGGACGCTTATACTCATCGACTTCGATAGCTGTCGTTATATCGGAGAGTCGTTGACCAAAACCGAAACGAAAAGAACCCGCCACTGGCACGACCCTGCTGTTGATATTTCGCTCGAGAAAAACGACTTTGACGCTTTCAGGGATCTACAAATCTGGTTGACTGGATCGGTGGATGAGAAATTTGTTTTTGAGTGAATCGTTTGTTACAGTAAAAGAAAATTGACTTGCTAAGTAGAAACTTGTTGATCAATTAAAGATATGAAAAGGGACTACTAGAAGAGTTGACTTAAATAATTGAGGAATAACGTAACCCGTAAGCGAGCGGTTCATGTAAGCGGGCGGGTCAGCTACCTAACGTGTTCCACGGTCACCCGAACAACACGGTCACCCGAACAACCCCACCAAAATCCAAAAAACCTTTAATTTTCAATAACAATTAAAACAACAAAAATAATGAAATATTGACTATTAAACACGTCCAGGGCACTTAGTATAAGCATGACCTTTAATCCCACACGCAGAACAGGTTATTTGTCGTCGAACCAAGGGCACAGAGGGTAAATTTGGCTCAATTGTTGGTTCTGCCTGCACCTGTGGTAAAGATATATCTCTGCTTTGATCCTTATCCTCGACCACCACATCGTCCTGACCACCTTCTAGGCCTCCAAATAGGCCTTTTTGAAGGGTAAATTTATGCTTAATAGCACGTTTTTTGACTTGTTTTTTGTTGGTCGCCTCCAATTGGCTACAACGATCTTGGAGAAAAATGTGGTTGTGGACTATCTTTATAGTCATATTGTAGGACCGTTCAATCTCTCGTTTAATCGGTGACGATATGATCGAAGACGAGGATTCTAGGCCTTTTTTGACCAAAGATTGCGATTTTGTAAATTTTGAAAGCGTCCAAAGCGTATTTTGATCGCTATCACTGCCTGACGATATTGGTTGTTGATCGAGAGGGGAAGAGAATCTAGGCAGATATTCAATTTTTCTAGGACCCTATTAGCATTAAATGGTGCTAGTCTAGTAGCTAAAAAGCTATTTTGGATAGTAGGGCCCTTGAAAGTATTAAGTCTTGCTTCAGCTATTATCTCAAGGAAATCTTCCTTGTCAATAGAATTGACTCCATTCCGTATTAAAGTTGATACTGCACTACTATATAACCTTTTCAACACCGAAAAACAACCTACATCCAAAGGCTGTAAAAGATGTGAAGCATATGGAGGCATACAGATTGCAATGATCTGGTTTTCCTCATAAAGTTGGTCAAATTCAGGGGTTAAATGACTCCCATGACCATCGAGGACTAGTAGGTAATATTTCCTAACTCTTGCACCAATATTTGGAATAAAATGATGTTTTAACCACCATAAACCAATTGTATCTGTAGTCCAACCATTCTCACTTAAAGTTAAGCAAGATCCTTTTTGGTTTTGAAGGAGAAAAGGACGTAAATGTTCTGGAAACATTTTACCCTTGAAAATAAAGAGTGGAGGTAACACACTTCCAGAAGCTCGAATACATTCAATAATCGTTACCTATTCACGATTTCCAGATTGTAGAAGATGTCGTTTTCCATGGTATTCTGCTGAAGTGATGATTTTTTGTGTTGAGCTAATACCCATTGCAAAACCACTCTCATCAAAGTTGAAAATATCATCCGAAACGATACCCCACTTTTCAATTGTTTTTTGAACCAAATCAAACCATGGCGCAATGATTCGAGGATCTTCTGATAAAGCTCTCAGATAGTCATATCGTCTTGAGAATCGACTAGCAAGATTTTCACGTCGTTTGATAAATTGGGATGGCCAATTTATACCAACAGTAGAGGGTGTTGTTGAAGATGTAGTTTTCCGCGCTTGAAGAAGAAGATTGGCCATATCTCGTAACATAGACTGATTGAGAGCTGCACCTCTAGAATCCATATCCAATAGCCAATTTTCTATTGATTTTTCTTCAATCTGAGAGAAAATATGACGTCCATTCCTCCTATCATTCAAAGAGTCACGACCGTTAAGCCGGGCCCGTAAAGTTGAGACCGGTACTTGAAACGATCGGGCAGCACCAAGAACAGAGGGATATTGACCATCTTTTATAGCTTTTATAGCTAATAAAAGGCGACCCTCCTGCTCTATTAGCTTTTTTTTTGATCAGAGCGTTGGGGTGGCATGTTTATTGTGCTTAAGAAAGAGGGTTTGTTTTTTAAGTGGATTTTTGGTGGGGTTGTTCGGGTGACCGTGTTGTTCGGGTGACCGTGTTGTTCGGGTGACCGTGGAACACGTTACCACCCATATTATGCATTGATTAGTAAGATTGGTGATTCAACCGGGGCTTTGGGTGATATATAGTAATGATGGATAACTATGAGCCATCATGGTGGAAGAACCATTTCTCCTATATAGGGCGCCCAGGTACTATATGATATTTGATAAATGAAAATGAATTGATTTTAGACCACTTAGTAAACGGAAACTAAATTCCACAGGCACTTCATAGGATTCCATTCAAGGATCCGCTTGTGTCTTCAAGATTCAATCAGGCAAGTTGAGTGATTCAAACCTGACTTGATCAAGAGTCCGAGTTTTGAAAATGACTCAAACTATTTATGGAGCCATCGGAACAAGGCTCGCACTTCAGAGATCCCTCATCAGGCGAGCTTGGCTTCGCGCATAAAGAAGGCACTGATCAAGGCGAAGAATACGACTATGGTTAAAAAGCCAAAGCCTTTACTGGTTGCCCAACCATAGCAATTCCGAACGATTCCAGCAGTATCGGGCTCCAGTTGCTTGATGTATTCTAGACTTTCTCGGACGCCATTGACAATTTCGTCAATACTTCTACTGCCAGTATCGTGCAGATCAGATCGAAGTCGATTGCGCAAAAGATGTTGCACAATGCTTGATGAGAAAGAAAGTCCAATTATCGAACCCAAGGATCGGAAAAGGTATGAGCAAGCAGTTACTACCGCTCGATCATCCACATTCGCACTCGAAACTAGATGAAATCAGTTCAGAGTCATTCAAATATATCAGATGACCTCACTTAATCCGATGAATGTAGTAACAACACCAATACCGCATCCGAATGCTGACATGACTGTTCCAAGAATCATGTTCACGGAGTCATTGGACATAACACCACCGGAGGAGAAATAGACCAGCAAACAGCCCAGGGCGAGGAAACTATATCCGAAGATCGTCAACCAGTAGCAGACTCCAAATCTCTTCATGAAAAATCCAGCGAGAAGGGAGCCAGACACGCCAGATAGAGTACTTGGCAGGAGGCGTACGCCAGCGACAGTAGCTGGAACTCCATCTACTGCTTGGAAGTAAAGCGGAGTGTAGAATATCACAGCCATCCAACCCGCAAAACTGAAGAAGTTACAGCAGTAAAGGGAGAAGCAATTGCGGTTAAATATAATGTGACCGGGCGCAAAAGGCTCAGCTGCGAGATAAGTCTCGACAAGGATGAATAGAACGAACAGGAGGCCTGAAACACTCAACGAAATGATAGTGAGTGGCATTGACCATGAAACATTGCTGCCACGATCCAGGCCAATAAGTAAGCCCAGAACAGCACCAACTAACACAGTGGCTCCAAGAAAGTCAACACGCTGCAACTTTTGTTTCCAGTTTGAATCATCCTGAGCTGGAATGTTGAGCATTGAGCTCACAGCAATAAAAGCAATAAGACAAAGCGGAAATTGCGCCAAGAACGCCCTAAGTATTGCTTTTGGATTAAGATATCACAGTAATTTGAAATGGTGCTCCTATCTGAGCTGAGAGCATGGGGGTTGAACATACCAGCGCCAGTCTACATAGTCAGCTATAATTCCACCGATCGGGGCGCCCATAGCTGACCCAGTGGCCGAGATGATATTGATAATCCCTTGCCATAGACCTCGATCGCGTAAGAGGATAATGTCATTCATCAAGATATTGACTACAGTCGTCATTCCGCCGCCTCCAATACCTTGGAATATCTATTTTTTGTCAATTCCATACACCGAATGGCTTGTAAAATGAGGGTTGTCATACACGCGCCGCAATCAAATCATTAATATTCCGTGCAAGGCCACATCCCAAATTGCCGATTCCAAAAATCGTATATGCGAACAACAAACATGGCTTCCGACCGAAAATATCGCTCAGTTTTCCGTAAAGAGGTTGAAATGAAGTCAATGTTAAAAAGTATGAGGTCGCAATCCAGCTGGTGAGGTTGAGGGCCTTGAGATCACTCCCGATCTGACCGTAACTTGCCATTATGATCGATATGTCGGCTGCTGCCAGGAAAACCTGTTTTCGAAGGTGAGCCATAGAATTTATTGTGGTGAACAGGGAGCTGCCCTATCCGACAGTGTCCAAGAAATTTGGAATGCATCATGCCTCACATACACCTAAAGAAACAGCAGGAATGATAAACTTTAGCTCATTGTGAGTATTTTCGACGGGCTCTTTGGCCTGACCTTCGACATCTTGAAGCTGTGGGCACTCCAAGTACCCATCATGGGGAATGCAGACGCCATTAGCCCCGGTAGGTGCAGTGGCATTGCGAGAGGTCAGCAAAGGGGAACTCTCAGATAAAGTCTGTTCTGATGCCATCGATACGGAATTTTGTATTCGTCTTTTTGCTGCCCTTGGCTTCACTAAATAACTCCACTAAAAAATTTCACTAAAAAACAGTCTTGGAAGAGGGGGTTGAGAGAAGTTGGCACGCCTTATTCTAGCTCACTGTAGAGGGGGATTTGAAGTAGCGGTGTGACATGATCGGCGGTATGCAAGTATAGGTACCTGGAGGTACTATCCAGGTGGTAGAGCTCTTGAGACTCTGCATATGAGAAGAAACTTGTATCAGGTTTCCGAAGTCTCTCGATTCTTCATCTCAGGTACCCACGTGGCGTGGGTGCCCCTTCAAGTTCTCCACTTTCCACTAGCCGCATTCCTTCCCTTCTTTCTCTTCCGCAGACAACTTTGGTCACCCCGTCTAGCAGATGCAAAAGGCCATCTTCTTACCCAATCTCCACTGCCCCATGCGCTCAGAAAGCCATTCAAACATTTCAAACTATCCAGTTACCAATTCGAACGCAAATATAATGGCCGTCCTTCCAATGCCGTGCGATATCATACGCGTCCACGTATTCATGAGCCTCGATAATATGTATGGCTGTCTTCACTTAGCATATACATGGTCCTGTCGGGAGTATTTTACTACTTGATGACCGGCAATACAGATTCAAGTTCAAGTTGTGAATTTTGAAACATTTGAATTGGCCATGGTGAAACCAGTTTGGATCCATAGGGACCACTGGACTGTCGAGAAGAGGTCTTTCACCGTGACGACACCAAATTTATTCAAATTTCAGAGGTTCTTGAAAAATTTTGGCCATACCACATCCAGCACGGCAACCTGGAAGAGGGTTGATTCCACGACGATCGACAAACAAAAAAACAAAAACATACAACAGCATGTCTAAGGTTGTGGTCACCTAGCGCCCACGATTCGGGCGTGGGCGGATTGCCGCCCTATTCAGGCCTCTTCAGGGTAATCCGGACAGATATTCACCCACCTGAATATTCGTCCCTGAACGTGCAATCGGTGTATCAAGATGTACATTTTCGCAATTTAAATTCCCCCCTCCCCTTTTGAGTGGCCATGATTTTTCTTCCTTTCTTTCCATCATCTCTCCTATCCCTCAAAAGTTCCATCAACACAGCAATATGCGTACAAAGTATGACCAAACGCTCAAGTACCTAAACAATGTGGTAGACTTTGGAGAGCATAACAATAATGTACTTCAACGAAATATTCTACCACGAACCGAGTCTGGGTATAGAGACAAACTAATTCTTTTCGATATGTAAGGAAAGCGACCTTCTCGTACCTGGGAAAAAACCACCAAATTGCTAATTTACTTAGGTTTCTCAAGTTACATCCACAGGCGACCACTCCTCCAGATATCCAAACTTGTCGCGCCTTTATGGAGTGGATAGGGTGGGGAAAACACGGTCGGATTGAGGAGAGGCCGACTGTTGAAACAATGCTTGGGCTTTTTAGGGAATTCGCTACTAGCCTGAAGAGAGAAAGGAGCATTGAACTCCCGTCCTCTACCAGAACCACGATAAATGAAGTACGCATTCTCCCTGTTTGAAGTAGTCAGAGCTGATCTTGGATAGTTTGTTCTTGGTGAGCTGAAGGTGAAGATCTCTCTTTCAACCAAGTCAATGGATAAAGATGGGGGTGTGTCCCCAAATGATTTGACTATCTTAATGACTCAGTTATGGTGCCGTGATCATTATGAGTATCGTGGTAGCCCTCCCGATCGAGCCAGAGTCCAGCTAAGCGCTGCTATGCTCTTATACTGCTTTACTACTGCGCGGACAGGAGAAGTACATAAGTCAACTGGGCGAAGACATGAAGCCTACTGAGTTGGCAACAGCAAGGATGATGACTTAGATACTCTGGTGATAACTGCTTGCTATAAGATAAGTAATTTCCAACCATGAAAGAGTCATAAAAACTGACTTAATTAGCACTTTTTACTCACTGTCGAGGTTGTGGATGGTACGATTATACTTGTATTAACATACCAGCGTGAGTTTGTCAAAGGATTCTGGAGAAAGCAAAAGTGGAGTATTCCGACATATGGATTCTATGAGATATATGTTGAGGATTTCCCTATATTCCTTAATCTCCTGACTTTCTTTTTACCAATGGCAACCGCGGACCACGCTTTTCAAAATTATAGGTCTATGATGGAAATTCTTGAGGCGGTTGAAAAGCATCAGAAAGTTGGCAATGCCGGTTCGAGGATTCTCAAGTTGATTCATATGCGTGAGGATATGAAGGAATTACCGGTATTCCGGCAAGATCTCGAGCATGCCGTTGGTGACTATAAAGGCAATACTACTAGAAAGGGCGCAAACTAGGAAGGCAAGGAACGATATCTGGTGAAGCGTGAGGGAAGGAAGGAAACTACTCACTGAGAGCTGGATATCAACAACGTGGTGGTCCGAACTATCTATCTACAGATGGGACCACTGATGTTGGCAAATACCAGAGGCGCAGACTTATTTGGCAAGTCTTTGGTCAGTCTAGGGCACAGAAGCGGGTATGGTAGTTTTTATCTTTTTTTAGAAACCATCTAACTGTCGAATAGATAAGAAACATTCTGAGTCTATACAGATGAAGTTTGCAGGGCATATCAACCTTGATACTTATGGCAAGATATATACGCATCCCCTTAGTGAGATTGATGGACCTGCAAATTACTCTGGGATTATAAGTAGACAGGAGCATATTCAAAATCGTTGCGGAATAGGCCTTTACCACACCATTTCATTACCACAGTTACTCCCTGCAAAATCGGAGTACAAATTTCTTGCTCGAGAGGATGTTTCGCAGGTTAACTACTTGGTGGCCAAGTTAAGTGCACAGCTCTCAATCGCAGGCCTAGAAGAAAAAAGGAAAATCCAGCTCGAGCAAAAAAGGCTCTACAGTCAAAAGCGGTTTTTGTATAACTAGGAGCTCCTCCAAAGAGTTCAGCAGCATTCGGAAGGTCATTATGGTAGCCTTTTTACGGAAAGCTTATTTCACTGTAGGAAGCGAGTCATGCCCTATAGAGATTTCCTTGCTACTATACTGCTATCTAAGATCAGCCTTTAAAGCTCGAATGGTATAAGGGCCCTGTAGGTATTGAAATCACTATATATTGAGATAAAAAGGATATTATACCAGGAGAGCCTTAGTCTAATTAATGAGTCTTGCCTCTGTGGAAAGTATATGGATAAGTATGTTTGGTTGATATAGAAAGCTTAAAAATTTATTGCTTACTGTAGTAGGCTATAAGACTACCAAAGATGGCTATATCTCTATCGCTGCTACTCAAGAAAATACCGATTGAATCATTGGTTTGCAGAAATGTGCTTTGAGTGTGATCTATGGTTTACGTGCAAAGGAGAGTAGGAAATTCATTGTCAAGAGCACCTAGTTAATGCCGCTGACCTGCTCCGCTGTGATCCTTTAATCTTTCCAAATGCACCTATAAAGGCAGGGTTATGTCCGTTCTGCCTGGTGTCTAAAAGTGCGCCAGCATCGAGAAGAATGCGCCAATTTGTCACTTCACCACCTCAATGGCACTCTCATATCAAAGGTCACTTAGAGGCAGTAGAGCTCAATTTCGACTGCAAGCACCCCGCCTGCTCCACAAGCTTTGAAAGCCTAGATCAGCTGACATACCATCTCATTGATGTTCACTGTTGGCGTCCTAGACGCAACAACGCCGGAAAGCGAAAGCGGTCGATTGAAGAATGAGCTGCCCCTTGCAGAAGATGCTCTTGAGGAGGTGAGGGGTTTGTTGGTTTTGCTCTGATCATGAGCCCTGAAAGTATTACAATCACACTTTTTGGCCGCTCTCGGTCTAACTTCTTTGATTTATCTGGCTATTTCCTTTGTAGTGGGCCCAGAGGAGGGTCGTCTATATCTCTCTTTATATACAATACCGCTTTCCCCCTTATATTCATCTTATCTATGTACGGAGTACACAACTAGCATTTTAGGTAGTACTTAGAACACATCCACATATATCATATTCTTCTGTAGATTAAACCTTGCTTAAGGGAGTGCAGGAAACCCAAGGGCTGGTACATGGATCTATACAGTAGTATTCGAAATCAGATTTACCTCCACACTCTTAGACTTGTTAGGAGGTGTGCCTTTGGAACAGCTACAGGAAAGAACATTTATGGGGGGAAGCGCGCGGAGGGGAAGTCTGCCCCGACACGTCGAGAGCTATCTACCTAGCCACCTTGGTCTGAACTATACAGACCACGTGATCTAACAGTGGTCATTAACTTCTTCAGCTCTCGGAAGGAGACCTCGGTAGCCACCGTCCAGTGAACAGGGCGAAAGCGTTTAGCACGCAGCTTGACATCCTGTTCCTTCAACAATTCGTGCAATGGCACACATATACGCGCGAAATCTTTGATGAAACAACGATAGTACGTAGCAAGCCCAACGAACTGTCGTACTGCATGTACATTTTTTGGTCTAGGCCAATTCTAGATAGCCTCAAACTTCGCCGGTACGGCTGCTATCACACTGTTCCCAATAGAGAATCCATAGAATTCAACTTTCGTAGACGCAAGGTCACACTTCGCTGGCGTCGCGTACAGCTGATGCTTGCGCAGCAATTCCAACAATTTCGACAAGTGTTCATAGTGTTCTTCCTTTGTCTTCGAGAAGATCAGTATATTATCCAGGTATGCAACAACAAACCGTCCCAGATAGGGACGCAGCGCGTCGTTCATAATCGTCTGGAATGTGGCAGGTGCGTTGCACAACCCGAACGGCATTGCCAACCACTCATACTTGCCCCAAATTGTATTAAAGGCTGTCTTCTCGACCGAACTAGATCCCATGCGAATCTGCTAGTATCCTGACACAAGGTCAATCTTGGACACCCACATAGCAGTTCCGACACAATCTAACAGATCCTGTATTCTGGGCAACGGGTAACCGTTCTTCACAGTAATTTCATTCAATGCGCGGTAGTCAATGCACATTCTCCAGCTTCCATTGGGTTTCGTGACGAATATCACGGGAAACCCCTAGGCGCTCGAAGATGGCCGAATGATGCCCTTCTTCAGCAGGTCCTCGACCTGTCTAGCCTGTTCTTAGAGCTTCTCGTCCGACATCGAGTATGAATTGATGTTAACGGGCGGGGCATCTCCGGTATGGATGTCATGAGAGATGGCCCGTTCTGGCGGTAATTCTTTGAGTAGTGATGTCTTGAACACATCGCTGTATTCACGGACGATGTCACGAATCTTCGGATCCTTATGGTCCGGTAACTCTTTCAGCGGTGCCTTTTGCTCATGCACGGGCTTGATCACCAATAGGTATGCCTGTGTGTCCTTTTGCTTTAGGGCCTTATCTGCTTCTCTTGCTAACATAAGATTCAGCTTTCCATCCTCCCAAGACAAGAGGAAAATCAGTCCAGCAGGCTTAATCAGGTGAGTACATCTGCTATCTCGTATCTTTATGGTCAAACGCTTCCAACAGATTTCGGGGTTCTATTTGACAAGAAAGTCTTTTCCCAAAATAAATATATGATCTGGCAAATCCAGTACCTATGCAAACACGGTTCCATGCCATGTCCCCGTAGACACTAGGAGGTTCATATATGTGTTTGTATCCATATAGAAGCCATTAGTAACCTGTACTTTCAATCTACGCTTTTTCTTTCTACACATCTACCATAAATCATGCCTTTTCAAGAAGTCTACAGAAACAAAGGTATAGGATGCTCCCGAATCAAGAAGTGCGTTCACATTGGCATTATGTACAGATGGGCCGATCGTCGCTGAGTAGAACAGTAGTAAGTCCCTGATCGTGTACAAGAAGCCTTATATACTAGTAACAGTTCCTGTTTTCCTTTACTTCCGTATGGACTTCTTAGTCATCGAATGGTCTTATACTGGATCCAGAGGGTCTGGTTTAGCCTATTTAGGGGTTATCAAAGCTTTTTCCATACGACCAACAAGCGCTTCCACAGTGTTAGGCACTGTTAGTTTTCCGCCGGCTTAGATTCCTTGGAATTGGCTTCTTTCTTCTTCTCACGATAATTCCGCGCGAGATAACCTGTCCTTCTATAATTATAGCAGGCTCGTGTCTCTTTCCGACCATAAGATTTCTTCTGGCCCTGACCCTTTATAACAGTCAGATCCATAGCATTCGGATCCTTTTCTTCTTTCTTTTCAAGGTAGCGACCGATCATGTAGCCTTACTTAAATTCAATGAAACAATTGATTACTTCAGGCAATGTGGTAGGACGGTTAAGAACACGCTCCTGCGCCCACAGTTGCTATAAGGGTACCTTTGTCGCACCGTGAAAGAATTGGATCATCAGATCCTGCGGGATCGCGAAGCGACTGTCGGCTACGGTCTCTTGGAATTCGACGGTGAAGTCCATGACTGTCTTACTGCCCTGTTTGAGTGCCGTAAACTTATCCTAGCGTTTCTCAGGGCCAAGGTGCTCCGAAAATTTACGTTTGGTCTATCCGACATATACGGCCTAGGTTGCAGGGACCTGTCCGCCCATCGCGTTCATATACGACTTCTATTTCTCAGCGGCTACGCCCTGAAGATATCCAGAAGCATGCGGGACCTTTAGGTCATCAGTAGGGACGGACCCGGTATACATCACTAGCTCACGGAAGTATAGTTCGCAGTCTTAGATATACTTTCGTGCCGTATTATTCGCCTACTTCCCGGTATAATTACTAATGGGGTCGATGTTTTTAGCAGCGCTTTCTTGGTTGCTTTAATGGCGTATCGTTCTTCACAGGAATGATTAAACCTACTTCCTGACAGAGGGGTCATAGTCAGAGGGATTGATGCTGGTTCTGCCATACTAGGGGCTGGTTGGTTCCGTTCTGCTATAATGGCGTTGGCCGTCCTGATAATAACATCATGGGTTTGTTCCAACCCTCAGCCTGTCTCCCACGTGTTTATATATATCTCAGCCAGGTCTCAAGGAAGGACCGCTAACGCTCGGTGAGTACCTTCATCCATGGGCTGATAGATAATCTCTTCTCTTGTCGGATGATGGGTAACGTTCTTATCCGTAAGTGGTCGTTCATAATGATACTCCATCGTGGTCTGTAGGCAGTCTTGTTTTTCTCTTTGGTGTAAAAAGGTTCAATTGAGTTCTTTTCTTCGACGTTCTAAAAGAATCAGGGGTTCTTACACCCTTTTTACACCCGGTATCTTGTTCTTTTACTTCTATCTCATTTTGCGGTGTAGATTGGGGATCGTGGATTGTAGATCCTACCCTGAGAGATAGAAGGATGCACCTTAATTCGGTATAAACGAGGGGTAATCGTGTATTAGCGTCGGTGTTTGGTCTCTTCCGTGTCCAGGTTTGTCCGAACAAAGGGAATGGTCCCCGGATGGTCCCTGATTCTCAGGGTTTTCCTCCATCCGCCCTTTTTCGGGGTTGTTGTGACTTCACACTTCCTAGAACACAAAGACGTCGTCTAATGCATCAAGAATGACACTTTCTGTCTCGTATACAGTCATCCATACCGATCGTTTGAATTCGATCGTTTAAGGGAGTGTACGGATCTGTCTCCGACATATCCTCCCCGAACAGCCGTAGAAGGCATGTTCAGTTAGGACATGCTACCATATGAGATCTTAGGAGGTAAAAGAGCATGTTTGATTAAGTATAGAATAACAGTAGTTTATATACAATCAAACATAATGACATCAGGTGATGTGCGATCATAACAGTAACATGATGTAAGCAAGGAAAGATACATGGTAATCTTGGGGCAAATATCACACTAGTCTACACGTTCATATGCCTTCTTTGTCTTCAAGCTTGGTAGGCTTTAAGTTTGGAGATTCCACTCTGAATAGGTGGTGTAGTGGTTAGATCCATAGTTCTTGTGGTATAGATTATATTTGAAAAGTAACTCTGGGCTGTCTGTAATTTTTTGGTCAATGGTTGAGTTTTGCCCCAGGTTGTTTAAGGCTTAATAGGTCGGTATACCCTAAGGGATGCAGGTGTGGAGATTGTAGGTTTGGAAGAAAATGATTAGGTCGCTGGTATCTCTGATAAATCTAGGTGGGATCTGATTATTACCCCACATTGGGTGGTTGCGATTAAAGTTGTCAGAGAGAATGATACTTGTGGACCGCTACTTGTTCTGTGTTGTGGCTATGATGGTATTTTGTATTGCTATAAGGGCTGGTAGTTCTAAGGTGTTATCACCTGTAAAGAGTGGTACTAGGGGTATATAGACAGAAAAGATAGGGTCTGAGAGTTGGCTATCCAAATCTTGATGGCTGTGATATCTAGGTGGTTACAAGGTATCTAATAGTGTAAGGAGGTGGAGACTCTTCTGTTAATATAGATAAGGCTGCAAAAGCGAACTATATCGGTCTATGTGGTAGGTTGGTATAATCTCCAGGTGCTGTGGCTGATATATATATGGTAGGTGGAAATGGAGGGCTCCTGGATCAAAAGAATATCCAGCCCCTGGCTTTTAGGGTTATTGATCAGTGCCTCTATTCTTGGCCCTCATTTTATCATATTCAACTATAGGATATGGAGATTCCTCTCTAATATCTTATAGGGTTGGAGAGGGCTAGGGTTAGATACTGTCAATCACCTGTAGGGTATTCGCCACTACAATCAAGATATCATACTCTCCTTCCTGGTGGGTATTATTCCTATTTATATTGGCCTACATAGTATCCACATCATGGCATCTCTTTGCACAACCATGCTAAATGTCCGAACTTTTGGTATCAAAAGTATCTTTCCTTTTTGATTTCCTGTTGTTCCATGTGGGTGATTAGCTGCCTACTAACAAGGAACCCCTTTCGGAGTATATATTCCGCTCCCTCTGGGGAGTCAAACCAGATTCCTAGGGATATAAATTTCCCCAAGGGTTTATCCCTTGCTTTTATCTAGGCTAGCTCTTCGATATGGAAACTGTGCTCTGTCAGGTTGTTGTCCTTGATGATTTTTTCCGCTGCTTAGGTGATATTTGTTTCCAGGTTAAATTTCTTGGTAGGGGTATAATATACCACAACACCTAATCATGGTTTAACTAGTTTTATATTGTTCCTAAGTTTTTATAGCCAACCGGTATTACTGTGGGTAGTCTTGGCTAACTCCGCGTTCTTAAATCGAATAATATAGCCGGTCTAAGTGGTACCTACACCAGCTATATAGGCGTCTTGTGTTGCTGCATCGCTCTGTAGTGCCATCCGAATGTGGTTGTTGGTGGTATCAGTGGGGAGATAGCATCCAGATGTGCTTCTGTTGTTGTTGTTATTATCTCTTGGGTCGACAAGGGTTCTTTAAGTCTTAATCCGGACATAGTTGTGTTCTGTCTCAGGGGTTGGGCGGTCTAGCGGGGAGATGCCATTACTAGCGTTGGCGACAACTGCGGCCCAAGACTTGGTCGCAGTTGCTGGTGGCGTGGCTTGGATTTAGGCTCGTAAGGTTTTCACTTTGTCATAGAGCTTCTCGTTCTGTTCCTAGAGCACGTTCTGGTTGTGTTTGATCTCCTGAAGTTCGTTTTGGGTTGCCTCAATGGCCGAGGTTTGGCGGCGGATGATGTCCTTCAGCGTGTCGATGAGCTTCCACACCTCCTTGGTGGTGATTCGACCGGCAGGGTCCGATGGTGCGAAGGCATCGCCGCCCCGGGTTCGCCTCCGGTTCTCAGAGAGCAAGCCAGTCGTATCGATAGCTGCCCTGGCCTGGAATTCATCCCCTGGGGTGCTGGCGATGGATTCTTGGGTGTTCGTGGGAAAGGGCTCGGGCCCTCCCGTCGGTGGGTCTGCCATCGCTTTGGGGGATAGTTCCCGCTCGGTACACAACGTTAAAGTCTATATCGCCGTCGCCGTGTATAGTCGCCGTCGGACCCCATATGTCTATTACAGTATGTCCTGTAACCGGTGTACCCACTTGTACTCTTTGATTGTTTCTTGAACCCTAGTTCCTAAGCGGTACTAGTCCATATTTGAAATAATCCGGCCTATACTTGCCAAGTACACTGTATTAATCCTTACATAAATTACCATACAGTATGGTAGGGTGTATACGCATGTAATTGATTATGCCTAATACCTTGCTTACCCCACCACGAAAATAATTTTACTGTTTGTGCTACATAGAGGCCCTTAACCTGTGAAGGGCTCTATAAAGACTGAAGCAGAATAATATAGGCCAACATGTAATTTATATTCATGCTTAAGGAAGAGGAAGCTATGTATACATATGATTAGGGAGTTATGAGTCCTTCTGTGGGTCACGTGTGGGGCCGTACGATTATGTGAGTGGGGCCGCCTGTGGGATTTTATCAGGTTCTTCTGACGAACCCTTGTTCTTTGTCTTTTGAGCGTAATAAAGTCGACCATTGTCGAACGTAATCGTACGGGATGAATGGCTTTGGCTTGTCGAGGATTTACAAGCTTTCGTCGGGCTCAACCTGTTACATAACCCATCCAAAGTCGCCACGTTAACATGGCACCAGATTCGGTCTTATCAAAGGAATCAGCTTATCTCTGAGATTATATATCCGTCCCTATGTAGTGAATGCTACTGGTTATAGGAGTAACATATAGAATTTTCGCTCTAATTGTATCGTTATAAGAAGTGAATATACTAACAATAAACGGATGCCGGAAGGAGCTATGGATTCTTGCTGTAGCCCTGAAACACTCCTTGGTGATCAATACAGCGGGAATATCTACTAAGTATTGGGGAATTAAGCATTGACGCTTTATAGAATTGAAGATGACGTGTTTTATATACATATTCCGTTATCCTCAGAAATTTGAGTCCTGTCTAAAGACAATACATATCGGTCGGCCTTTCTTCCAGTCAACTTGGGCACAGACAGCTAATGCAGGACGAGCTCATTCTTGCCTTTCCTGCCTCTTCTGCCTCTCCCATGCAGGTAATGCCCATTTCAGCATATACTCAGACCTCAGGAGTTGGTCTACTGTGGGTCGATCCGCGGGTTCAAATGCCATCATAGCTCTGAGCAGGTCCTCCAGCGCACTTAGTTCACCACCTGTAACATCCCATTCACACATCTGTTCCATCTCGCCACGGCCCATATCCCAGAGGCGCTGACGCAGACGCCGGAAGACAGGAGTACTGATACGGCGGAAGTCGGCAACCCATGACCCATCTTCCTTAAAGAATTCGGAGCGTTTAACCCAAGAGTTCCACCATCTCATAGGCGGTTGGCCCAGTGTATTGATCATCTCGGCGATAATATCATCTCGATCCCAGGCAAATGTTTCGAAGAGTGGACGCTCACCCAAGACCTCATATAAATTGACACCTAGAGTCCATACATCAGCTGCGGTAGGTTGAGTGATAGGTTCATTGAAAAAGTCTTCTGGTGGAGAGTAGAGGGCTGGGGTACAGATAGTCGGTGAGGGTGTCTGTGATATAATGAAGGACGTCCCATAATCTGAAATGATGATTTCTGGGTTATCCACTTCATTGGCAGGTGTACTTAAACTCATAGGATAGATAGCATATGGCGGTGCGTGAGGTTCGCCAGGCTTTCCATCCACTCGTCGGATAGGAACCTCAAAGGGTTTACCAAAGCGCTGGTATAGCTCAGGTATGCTTAGGCCATCTAAGTCTGGTATACGTAAGAGAAAGTTACGTAAATGGAGGTCTACCTTTGTTAGACAGAACCAATAAACTGGGGTATATATCATTGTTATCCTTACCTCCATGGCAGATACCGTTTGCATGCAAGTAGGAAAGCCCTAAAAGAAGCTGGGCGGCAATAGATCTAGCAGCGTCTAGGGGAAACATCAAGTTTGTGCTGTCCTCCTTAGACTTAGCAACACTACCACCAGCAGGCTTTCCGACTAAGCACTGATGATATCCGTTTGGACCGTGGAACCGAAATTGGTCAAGTAGCGGCGGAATGAATCGCTTTCCAGGATGAGTAAGGTTGCCCTTCACCAGGTAATGAAGGACGTCCCCCTCATGACTGTCTGATGAGGCCCGCGCAGTCAGTATCTTCAGCGATACATAGCGCAGGCGTTGCTTATCCCAGGCGAGCCAAATTGTTGAATATCCACCGAACCCAAGCTTATGAACAATAGTATAGCGACCACTAGAAAAGGTATCTCCGATAAGAGTTGGATGGTATCCACCGGGCACATAGTCCTCAAGGTTTTCAATATCTACCTCAGGGTGGTATGTATCTTCCATTGGTAGATCTGACAGGTCAGCCATGGTGTGAAGGCATCGAAATAGGGGTGGTGACGGAAAGACTCTGCGGTAATAGCTGGTCTTTGGTTTGAATGGAGATTGGAGTGGTATGTTTTGAGTATGTAGACAAAGGGGCAAGAGTTGGGAGAATAGACGAGGGAATCTCCAGCCAGGGTTCATATTCATGTTCATGTCTGCGCATCTTTGCAGAGGTAAGGCGATGACCTAGTGACGCGATATTACTGGCAATATTGAAAAAAGCGGTGTGAGAGCGGGGCCGTTGCTACCAAGGCGGAAGTGGCCAAACAATCTCCGAATTACTTGCTTCACGTCTTCTATTACTTACTTCACCGTTTCTAACTGGACTCTTTCGCCCTGGCATCTGCATGACCAACGTTACATTCTCCACTTGGTAGGCTGGCACTAGGCCTTTCAGCGAGTGAAAGCGGCTACTTATAGGCTAAGACTGCTCACTCCCAGTGATAGCACAGCGTACTCAATGCACAATATTGATTTACAGACCAATTGCCTGCTTGAAGCCTGCTTATGGCTCGTATTCCTAGAACGCCTCGGCCTTAGAGAGCACATGGTTATTAAGCCTGTCCTTACCTTGAGCGCCTACTATATAATTTTTTCATTTTTGCTTTTCCTTGATGTGATAGGATTACAGGAACGTATCCTGTCAATATTTGGAATATCGCAACAGCGCGTGAGTGATGTGATGTATTGGAGCATCAAGCTAATGTCAAGTATTAATGACTAGAATACCAGTAGAGGGGCCTGAATAGCTTATAAAAAGATCTACTCTATCTTCAGTCCCATCATTTCTCTAGACTATGCGCTTTGCCTCCTTCCATATCCTTCTCATATCCAGATTTGGCCCTGTCGATCAAATTCTTGCCATGGCTTCACAGGCAATCGAGTATATCTGGAAGATCGCACGACCGAAGAATGAAGTCATTGCTCGGGCGTTGATGTATGCCGCTTATACAACAGCGATCCAGACGGATCCACACACAAAGATAGTCTTGATTCGGTAATTTCAACTTCTTTTGATATCAGAGAGTACGCTGACGTGTCGCACTTTAGCTCTTAAATTCATCCAACGACTCGAACCAGAGGCTTCTACATCAAAGACAAATCGCATATCACAGTGTCTGTGAAGAATCCACACACGATCCAATCAGGAGAACACCAGTCAAGTCATGGTTACACACCACACTTGAACTCTTTCGAGGTGAATATGGTTTCGCCAAGCAGCGTTATTAAAGGCGATATGATAGGCAACGCGTGGCCGCCTTCAATGGAAACGAGACCAAAAGACAAATTTACAGGTCCACCTGCTCTTCTAGGTCCGAAGGTTGAATTTATCACTTGGCCTTCTGAGGAAACAGGTGAATGAAAGCTATTTTCAATAGGGGATGGCTTGTCCTCGGCTTACAGGGGCTTCAACCACGCACATCATAATCTTCTATGTAAAGATAGCTCAAGGTGCATTCAATGGTGTCCTCATCAAATTCCGTCCAGTCGATAGGTCCATTAGTCCCCTTTTTAGTCCACTGGTCGCTGACACGAGATTTTAATACAGGTGAGCCGTATGACGAAAAGAGCCTATAGTGGATGTAGTAAATGGTCTTCTTAAAGCCAACAATGACCTAGTGTTAGTCCCTGGATAGGATTCGACAACGTCAGCATCAGATTGTAAAAAGTACTGGGACAAATTTACCTGAGATAGAAATTTGTACGCAATGCCATCCGTCAAACTCGAATGCTGATCATCGAGAGAATGCGCAATGTTGTGGGTCCCTGGAAACTTTCTGCACTTGGCCCACCAAATTTCGATGGCGATGGGGAGTCTACGCAATACGGGCGTGACCAGCCATATGTCGAAGTTGTCACGGAAAGTAGGGCTTCGTGCTGACACAGCTATTCATAAGGTGAATCCCATTGGCATGATCCAATGGTAATTATGCGGAGCTTGGATTTCAGACCGAGGTTACCGCGTTCGTAGTGTAGATCTTGACGAAGGCCGCGGATGTTGGCTATAACGATGGTTTCCTCAATCTCTAGGCTGCTGGCGAACAGAGGCGAGGTTTTGTTGCAGTTTGCCCACTGACGATGGCGCTCCCGTTATTAGTTAAGCTCTGAACATCAGCTACCTGCTCGCCAAGTACTTCCCCAATTCAGGTGCCCGATGTCTGATCCCCCCTCCTCTATGGAGTTATGGACTTTTGGTCCATATGTATTTGACCATGGGTCTTGGAAACATCGTGTGTCAGTCCAACGTTGCCAGGTAGTCAACAGCATGTTCATCATTGGGAGGTATGTTGTCTCCCAAACACTGGTCCACCAGATCAGAATGACTTGACATTTCGGTAACATGATTTGTAAGGCAGAGGTCGAAAATCGGACAACGGAGCATAGTGTTTATGCAGTTCCTAGACATACGGTATCCTTTGCATTTTGTTCACTTCAAGACTGAGAAGGCAGGAAAATTGGGGATAAATAGTTAACGTAATCCACAAGCGAGCCGATCACCTCGCTAAAAATCGCATCTTTCAACCCCCCCTGCCTAATTCAAACACCTACCATGCCACCAATTCGCAATATTTCGGCAGGAAAAAAATGCCAACCAAGAGGGCAAGATATTATTAGCCCTTGACGATATTCAAAATGGTCGAATTAAGTCTCTCCGTGCAGCTGCGAGGCTATACGAAATACCCTATACAACCTTGGCCAACCGCGTGAACGGCGTATCAGCACGCGTTGACACGCGCCCCAACAGCCATAAGTTAACCCAGCTAGAAGGGGAATCGCTTGTTGAATGAATTATCTCTATGGATTCACGTGGTGCAGCACCTAGGCTATCTACTGTAGGAGAAATGGCCAATATTCTGCTAGCTGCACGCGGTAGCCACCCCCCCACCTACAGTTGGTATTAATTGGCCATCAAATTTTATCAAACGCCGTGATGAGCTACGAATACGCCTCTCTAGGCGATATGACTATCAACGTGCCTTAAACGAAGACCCTAAGTCCCTCCGAGAGTGGTTTACCACCGTACAACGTGTTATTGATGAGAATGGTATCCAACCTGAGGATATTTATAACTTTGATGAGACAGGCTTTGCAATTGGCCTTATTTCAACACAGAAGGTTGTAACACGGCAGGAATACTACGGTCGGCGAGCTATTTTTCAGCCTGGAAACCGTGAATGGGTGACAGCAATTGAAGCTATCTGTGCAGATGGCTATTCATTACCACCATGTGTGATTTTTAAGGGAAAGGTTGCTATCGCTAGCTGGTTCGATAATCTACCAAAAGACTGGCGATTCGAGGTCTCAGCTAATGGCTGGACTACCGATGAGATTGGCCTACGTTGGCTAGAAAGGCTATTTATCCCATCAACAAATTCACGTGTCCGTGTTCGATTTCGGTTATTGATTCTTGATGGCCATGGAAGCCACCTTACGCCCCAATTTGACCGAATCTGCTCAGAGAATAATATCATTCCACTCTGTATGCCTGCGCATTCATCACATTTATTACAGCCATTGGATTTTGGCTGTTTTGCGGTATTAAAACGTGCCTATGGTTGCTTTATAAGCGATCTTGCGCGTACAGGCTATAACCATATCGACAAGCTTGATTTCTTAGCTGATTTTCAACGTGCCCGGCTTGAAGCTTTTCAGTCTAGTACTATTCAGAATAGCTTTTTAGCTACTGGCTTAGTACCAATCAACGCTGAAAAAGTTCTTTCTAAATTGGATATTTCTCTTCGAACACCTACACCACCAGGCAGCAGACCAGGCAGCAGATCTAGTCAATTTACACCCAAAACACCTCGAACTGTGCTTCGTTTCAGTCAATATTGGTGCTCCCGTTGTCTGAGTTAGCCATTTGTACGTCCAAACCTTGAATTCGAACATCTGGATATTGCAGATCGATATTTTTAGAAGAAATGAAATGACTTACGTCTCATTCCCAACACTGCTTCATACTCTCTCGTAAGAGCTGAGAGGACAGTTCTCTTGGGAGCGAAGGAAGATCTTTTATTTCGAAATGCTCATATCGTCCTCTTCGCAATAAAGTATTCACCCACCAAAAAAACCACCGACTGAAAACAATTTCCGTTTCTTCAAATGATAGTTATTGCCATGGCTCACGGAGGATCGAGCGTTTGCTTTGCGATTCTAGGATCAAAAGCACTTCCACGACCAAGGTGATGAATCCACTAAGAGCATGAAGAGGGCATTGATGATCATCTATGAGGAGAAAGAAGGCCGATTACACCAGGTCGCGAACGACGGAGAGTAACAAAACAATATTCAGCAAGTCAAAGGGCGCTCAGAGCGACTGTGGTTGAGAAACGATAGGTATGGACGATCACCCAGACTGCAAAGGTACCGGCAGCTGAGTAGAGGTAAAATGGATTGAATCAAGCTTTGAATTCAAAAATCAAGATTGTTAGTTTAAGGAGGGTCAAGGAAACTGCAAGTATCTGTTACTGAGTGCTAGACTGATTTATTTTCCATGCTAGGGAGTGAAGAGTGGGATGCATGCCAGTCTCCAAATGCCTCGATGGTTCGGGCCCACTTTGATTGGTTGTTGCTGTCGGAGGTGGAGGAAGTTGAATGGTGCACAGAGCACGAGAATCAAGGTAGGCCCTAAGGTTATAAGTAGATCGAACCAGAGGCTTATTGTTTGAACATTGGCGTCAGGGATTGATGCTCGGCGTGAAGGCAAGCAGAGTCTTTGTTCTTCCCAAAGATAGCTGGAAGTGATTATAGGCACATCTTTTGAGATTATCGAGAAATAGAAAAGATGGAAATTGTTGTAAAGCTGGAGTGCTAAATATTTTACTCCCTAAATTACAAAGGAATTACTTAGGTCGCATTTATCACCCTGCATGGGCTAACTGATTGTAAGCTAGACAGGGGTGTTGTTTGGCCTTTGTACTAAGGGCTTTAGCTCATTCGCAATCTACGTTTTCATTTGACGTATAGGATGAAACCTCATTATACTAGTCGCCGGGTCCTAGTGAGGGGTATTGGGTCAGAGATCAAGTTACATAGTAGCTGCAGTAAACTCAAACCTGCTTATTGACCACCCAGCAGCCGCAAAAATATGACATATACAAAGCTCGGGTGAAACCTTCTTTTGCGATTGACTCAAACCACGGGTAGATCCAGAGACCTCCAGGAGCTCCTTTCAGGTATAAGTCTCTTATTTTCTCTTTTATTATCGCTTCGAAGCGCCTGAGCCAAATCAATTGGTGAGTGGGAAGGTAAATCATCTCTCCGTTGGGGGATCTCCGTCGGGGTCCGGAAACAATGCGCACGCCCCCTCTCGGCCGCAGGCAAATAAGCGGGTAATATGTCCTCCGTACTTCATACGCGAAGCAATTCAGATCACAAGGCGGCGTTTCTTGCCCCATGAGTGTTAGCTCCTGCCCCGCACAGTCAGTATTTAGGTACAAGCATCCGGGCCGTGTACACGACCTCCGGGACTCCTGGACCCTTTTCAAATTTAGATCATTAAGTTAATCATCAGAAAAAAGAAAGAAAGAAAAAAGCCTCACAAAACCAGCTTGAATGTCGTATTTACCGCCTTGCATATTTATATACTTCGTGGATAACTACATTATCCTTTAAACCCAGGTTTGTTCCTAGTCTATATATAAATTAGCTATTCGAAGAACGCTGTATCAATTCAAAGTATGTAGACCTTTGCGAAAACAATTGGTGATTACCAAGGCATTCATATCGAATTCCCATGCCTTAGTAGCCCAGCGTATAGCTTTTAAGATATCCACTGTTGCTAAAGATCCCTTCCAGCTTCATATTCTCAAAGCATATAGCGGACCCATTCTCTGCGCCAATAGACCTTCCAAGCATTAATAATACCTTGATCTAAAGGTTAATATTTACTGGTCGTATTTGGTGGAAGCCATATTATCAAGGTATTCTGTAGAAGAATCTGAGAGTGTTTTATCAGATCTACTGCAGCTTCATGAGCAGAGAAATTATCCATTGAAAGGACAACTTTTCGCCCAGTCATACATTGATCAAACCAATAAAACCACTCTTTTATAATCTCGGCAGTCATCCCAGTCCGGTTAAACCGCCAATAGACATCAAGAGCTTGGAGATTGACCCGAGCAGCTTGGAAAGCTCATGGCTTTGCAGCTCACCCAATCATCCATAAAGGTAATTTCTCAGATCCATCGGCATTGGTACAAAAATGAATAGTTATATGTGCTTTTTGTTGACGCCGACAGGGTAAAGAGCGTGTAGAAAGGCTTCGATCAGGTGTAAGTTTCCAAAATAGCCCAGTTTCATCACAATTGAATATATCCTGTGGCTGAAACCCCGCTAGAGCTTGTCGAATAGAGTTTATCT